GCCCCGCCTCTTCCGCGGCTTTTATACGCGCACCGGACGAATCTTCTGGAATGACGCCGCCCTACGTCACGGCCCTGGAACGGTCTAGAATTCCCGCGCGTGACGTCACCGCCGGTACGTGCAGGGGGAGGAGCCCTGTCCCGCCCGCCAGCGCCGGCCGCTGCGGGGAGCGGCGAGGCCACGCCCCCCGCCCCTCTCCGCCGGTATCAGGGCGTTCGGGCGCGGAGGCGGAACTTGACGGCAGCCGGTTTCCCTCCCTCCTCTCCGGTGAGACTCGGGCATTCAAGTGACACCCGCGTACGAACTGCTCCTGGGGAGCGGGCGCTGGCTGCGCCTCAGAACTTGGTCTCGTTAGTTAACCGATGCGGTTTCTGATGCCTCCTGCCTCAGTACCTTGGGCACTTTAAAGTTAACTGAGCTACCAGTGCGGCCCTACTCTGTATCTGCTCGTTACCCGCCCTGTCCTCGAGCCGGCCTGCTGGGAGGGGGCTAGAAAGCTGCGCTACTTTTCATCTTCCTCCGGGCAGCTGAAGGTCTCCAATTAATTATTTACCGCTCAGGTGAAAGGAGATAACTGGTACTGCTGTGGGAGCTGACTAAAAGCAGATTTTCATGGAAGATGACAAAGTCATAAGTGAAAAAACACAGAAAGACTCTAAGAACAGATTTTGTTCCAAGTATAAGTAGAAATTCTTGCAACCCGATTTTTATTCCCGATAACAGTTTTATAAAACAAGAGCATCTCCTGCTGTTATGATAACCCAAAGGCTGAAGTGCTCTGTCAACCACTGTACAGGTAAAAAGATGACTGTGAAGCAAAGAAACCCCGTTGTGTTGTCTAACAGTGGGAAAAAATAGAGAAAAAGAAAAGGAAAAAGAGGCAGTGTGGATTGAGTGAAAACATTTTATGGTTTAAAGCTCTAGTGCCATTATAATGAACTTTCTACTGTATTTCAGGTAAATACTATTAGAAGATTGAATTAATGCAATCTGTTCTTTGTGTACTCCTGCTTATATTAAGCATGGAGACTTACTAAAGGAGGGAGAGCTAATGTACAGGAAAATAACCCAAAATACCAATGAAAGGAACTATTCAAAACCACAAGAAAGAAATCAGTGTTCGTAACAATTATTTTTTCTGTTTAATTAGCAGGAGCTGAAATCTGTGCTTTTCAATTGTGAAATTCCATTGACAAGTAAATACAGAAATTATTTTCTAAAATAACTACAGTAAGTTACTCTGTGAACTTGCAAACTGAGAACTATATATCCTTTTTATAAGGGAAACAGTTTATACCAATAATGGTCTTCACCTTAAAGATAAATTAGCTATAATCCTGTAGTCCTGAAGATAATATTTCTGTTTAAGAAGAAATTGTTAATCTGCTGGTATCTTTACAGTAGCAGAATGCTTCAGCAGATGAGAGGCTTTCAGAGCACATGATGAATTTCACTGAGAATTGAATTTTAAAGCAATTTATAGTATGTTGTAAGAGACAGTATATAATTTCTGCGAGTAGAAACACTCACATAGGTGTGCGTAGGTATTGGTAAATATAATATGAACTATACTCATGGGCGATTTCTTACTAGTAACTTGTCAAAAACTTCACTGGTGTGCATCGAGGATTGAGCCTCCTGCTTTGTTTACTTTTCTTTCATTTTTATTAGAGAGAGCTATTGGGTTATATTTATCTTTAATATTCAGTATTTTTCTCCATCTTTGGTTCCAGTTGGAACAACCAAACTCATTTATTCAAAGAATTAGTGGGAAAAGTAATAAGGGCTGCTGTTTTGCATTATAAAACCAGGAGAGATATTAGTCCATCAGTATTCTTTGTACCATCATCTGCATCTCCTGCATCGTTCTAGTCTGGTAACTGCAGTCATTGGTACCTGAGAGGAATACAGTACTCTTCTGTCTGAAACAAAACAGTTCCTATTTATCAGTAATGTATTTATGGAACAGAGTTGGAATCCTCAGCAGCTGATTTTACTCATCTAATTTGTCATCATTAGTAATAAATGTAATACAGCCTTTAGACATGCAGACATATTTCTCAGCAATTACAGTGGTGGTTCCTTTACTCAACCAACCTGGTGATCAAGTATGTATATGCTCAATTCTGTTTCTTCTGCTACACACCTTGCCTCCTTAAGTCTGTGGTTGTTCCTAACCAGTGATTGCTTACCCATTTCTCAGATGAACAGCTGATCTCTGACTGGTTTTTCCCTTCTTTTCCCTCCTGCCACATGTAATATTATGGATCACCGTGTCACATTTTACTTGCACAGTATCACATTTGCATGTAAGTGCAAACAGGAAGACAAGCAGAGAATTTATGTTCTCTGCAACTAGGCAGGACTGGACTGGGTGCAGGGAATAATTAGATCCCACTGCACATTTAACCACCAGAGGATTCTGCCTTTGGTTCTGAAATAGGTATTCCCACTGTTAGCACAAAGCAAGTCAAAATACTGCTTCCCACCCAGCCTGGGGAGCATACAGCATCTTTATATGCTACAATTATGCATTTATCTTTTAATCTCCGCTACACAAAATACTCATAGAATCTCCTTGTTTATGTTTCCATCTCTGGCCATATTGTAATTTCTCTGTAATCATGCCTTCCAAACCGTGAAGCTGCTGTTGGAAGCAGCATCCTGGAGACACAGGTAGAAGTACGATCTGCTGAATTACAGCTGCAGCTTCTTGCAGCACCCTTGATTTTTGTAAAGTTCCAATAATAACTTTCATTACAAACACCTGAAAAAAAAAATCAGGAGTATGAGGGGTTGGAACTTGGGTTTGTTTTCAATCACTCTAAATTTGCATAAAGAACTTCAGTAGTCCCTTCAGAGGGTGAAATCTGAATCACAACAGACTTTTTTTTCTTGGTCTTGAGCTGGATCCATACCTGAACAAGTATCATGATTTCCCCAAAGCTGATAGAAAAACACCTTTTAAATAATATCTTTATGATTTCTAGTTTTATTTAAAATACACTTGTAAAAGGGTATTTAAAGTGTAATGGTTTCATGTAATGGATCTTTAATGGTACTGGAACTTTTCCCCCATAATTAATATCTGAAAAAGATGTTTTGTACAGAAATAAGCTCTTAGGAAAACCTTTTTGCCTGTGATGGAAAGTAAAAGATCTGTATCTGCAAGAAAATTTAAATGATGTAATTTGTTTTGAGTTATTTTAGGGCGGTGTGTAATGAGTGACCAGCATCTTTAGAGAATTTTTCTGAGGCAGGTTTTAATTAAACTGTGCAACAATCTGTAATAATTAATTTTAATTCGTAGTAATACAGAAGGAGTAACAAAGACCTGTTTTCACAGTACAGTTGGTTAAAGTCTGGGCATCTCTTAAGTGGTTTGGGCCTGTAGAAAATCTGATTGCAAATATGATGGGATAAATCTGTAGGTAACTGTGAAAATGTAAGCTACTCATTTTGAGTCCAAAACAATCTTTTCCTAAGAAAGAAGCAGCAAAATTGTTTCTAGATGTGCCTGTCCTCAGACCAACTGTTGTTTTGATCTGACAGGATGTTCTGCCTCTCTGCAGTTGCTCAGAAACTGCTGCCTTTCTCCAGATGTGCATTTGCAGCTACTTTTTTTTTTTTTTCCTTATGATTCTCATCTTTAATTAGTACAAACTGGTAGTTACAGGCAAATCTAAGATGCTTTTGTTATTGGCAGTCAGACTCCGGAAGCTTTGAACAAACTAATCCATGTTTTTCTCTATATTGTTGTGGAATGATTCCCTAGAAAGCAAAATGCTTTATTCAGAAAAGCAAAATTGAATTCCTGTTGCTGTGGCATGGTCAATGAGAAGAAATTTTCACAGAGAGATTGCTATTGGGAATTTAATGAAATATTAATATATGCAGCTGGTTATGGTGTTTTCTGGGATAAACTGCTTCACCTGGCAGATGTGCATGAGGTAGTCTTGTTTTTGCCTAGAAATGCTGATTTGAGTATGGGTAAATGCTCTTTAGTTCTGCAAGTATGGGGAGACACAGCTAAGGGTAGAAGTCCTTTTTCTAATCTGAATAACTTCATTAGAAATTAATTCGTATAAAAAGTGTATGTCAGTCTGAAAAGATGTTGCTTGCCTGAGGCTTTTCATTATGGAATATGCCTTCAGCATCTTCTCCTTGGCCCAAGTGAGTGTAAATTTGTTGATTTTTAAGGTATGCATCGAGACTCATTTGTTTACTAAGACTTAATGTAGCTTTAGCCACAGTAATGTTTGAAGACATGTTTGTATTCAGAATTTTGCTTAAACCCTGAAACCTGCTGTCATTTAAGAGTAACTGTGGAGTTGATTGTTTTAATTTTAGCTAAAACGTTTTAGAGGCCAAAATTAGATCTTTAATTTTATGAGAAACTGGGAAAAAAAAAAGTGTGAAGGTATTGTGTGTGAGAGCTGTATATAATCACAGTAAATGCAGTTACCAGCCATTTGGGAACATAGCAGACAGAGGGCTGCAATTAGTAGCAAGTTGAAAAATTGCCAGGCTTCAGAAGGACTGATTTGAACTGATAAAAAAAAATACTAGAAGTGGTGCCATTTTTGTAAATAAATGTAGCAAAGCCTTTGAAATAGAAAATGTAAAGGTTATTAGATGTTTTGCTGGTGGTTGTGGGGTGAGGGTTATTTTTTTTTGTTTTAGACTCAGTGCTGGAAGTCTGGAATAACAATAGGACTACCAGTTCAACATCATGCTTGTACCAAAAAGCATTGTTTTACACTAAGATGCTTGTTGCCAGTTACACACACACACACACACACACACACACACCCCAAGCCAATCACTCAGTAGTTTTGTTCCGTGAATCAACAAACTGCTTAAACTAATTGGGATGAAGAGCAAGGAGCAGCCAGAATTACAATACTCTTCCACTGGTTTTAAAGAAATACAAGTCTTGTAGCAAAACATAAACATTCTTGCCTTACACGTGGAGAAATGGGGGAGAACACAGCCGTGGGCAGTTGCATGTTGCCTTAGTGGCATTGTGAATTAAACCTGCCCCAAACATGAAGGGGTGCCGCAGACTCCACCCACGGTGAGGTGGATCTGCGCATTGTGCTCCCGTGGGTTACTGACCTTAGTAACAAGGTTGCTTTGTTTTGGCCTCGGTGATATTTCTGTTTGGGATCTTGTGACAGTGCAAGTTTATAGCAACAGTGTCTTCATCTCTTCAGTATCAGTCACTAATTGCTGAAAGATACCAATCATAGAGCAAATAGTGCAAAGCCGTATTATATACGTGAGCTTAATTTGCTTCTTAATTTCCTTTATAGTTTTGTGAGCCTGTCAATGCCCAGAAAACCTAACCTGTACCCACTGCAAAAACTCAGTCTGCCTAGTGCAGTCTTGTGCAAGCTGCACACAGGTAGAGACATAAAAGGACCATAGCATCATGTACACTGCACCATGTAAAATATTGTGAAGGTGAAGATCATTCCTTACTGCACTCTACATAAGTTGCTAGCCTCGCTTGTTAGGATGTATTACTTGAACCTTGAGGAGTACTGAGAAATGTTGTACCAGAACTACAAAAGGAAATTCCGTGTAGAACTATTACAGCATGACATTCGTAAGCCTATTGTTGAAATGCCAGGACTGTGTGTGGCTGACAATTGCAGGAAAATTACAGTTTATCACAATCATGTGAGTTTTCTATTACAGTCAAACAATACACAGTCCAAAAGCAACTCTTTTCCACCAGTTCCCCCAGATAAATTCCCTTGGCCTCAAGGCCTGGCTGCCCTGCAGCCACTTTTGTTAGTATGGGGGTGATTTAGCATCAGAGAATCTTTGATTGTGTCAAAATAATTTTCTAACCATCAGTTAGTTTGAGAAAGATTATATGAAAAATAAAAAAAATTACTTTCTAAACACAGTATGTATAGAAGAGATGTATTTTTTAGGTTTTCTGAAAGTACAGGTTTTAGAGAATTAACAGCCATTTTCCTACCGTGAGACCAGCCTGTTACCTAACCCCTCAACACCCAGGATGCAAGCCAAGCAAGGTAATTAGTGGTTGTCTAATTGGATTCTTCATATAACATAACATGTAAAACATTTTAGATGACCAGAAGAAGAAAAAAAAAAAAAAAAAAATTTCTTGCAACAGAGTTTAACCCTGTTTTCTCTTTATATTTCTGGAAAGCTAGTTGCAAGCATATTTCTGCAAAGAATCATTGGAACAAAGTGGGAATTTGGAGAATTATCCCAAAATGAAGGAACTAAAACAGTCCTGACAAAAATTAATTTTTGCTGCATCAGACGACATATTTTTACCCCTGTTCTGTGTTCAGATATTTTCAGAGCAAGTTTCTGGTGTGAGAATAGACCCCTTAGAATCCCACTATGAAGTCTTCTTTTCATTTCAAGTTGCATTATTTACAGTTAGGCATTTGGATGTGGTGCAAGATTCTCTGGAATAAAATTAACATCTTTGTAGAAAGTTAGATGTTTACTAGTCTTACATTTTCCTAATCACTATGGCCATCTTTGTACCACTAAATAAAACATTCTAGATCATGTTCTCTCTCTCTGGAGGCAAATGGCATGGCACAGCTTGCATCCCTGTCTTCCTCTTGCAGACGGGCTAGTCATTAACATCGTTTCCCAGTATAACAGCTGCTGCCCTGCGCTGTCCCCTGGCTTAGGGAAATGCTAGTTTGCACAGACCAAAGCCATCCTGGGGAAGGTGCTTGGCTTGAGCCATTCTCTGTATCTTTTTTGTTTACTAGTATAGAAGTAGCTTAAGTAGCTAAATTAGACTGTCTTACACTCTGGGAAGTAATTTGTTTAGTCATGTTTAGAAACTTCAACAGTATATGATAGGCATGATTTGTTGAAGTTGATGAAGTGCTGGTGCAGTTGGGATGCTGGCGGAGGTACTTGGCTGTTGCAGTACTGGGTTTTGTAGGTATAATTGACTTGAAGGCATTTCCTAATGAAATTAATGTGCATTGTCTCTAAGAAAATAACTTTATTGAATCTAAAGTTAATAAAATTAAAATTGCTTCAACTTCCGTGAACAAATTCATTGGAGATCTTGGCAAAAGAAAAGATTTGCATCTTAAAGCATTGTAGACTCATTAAAATTCTTCTCATGGATAATTAAAGAAAACTGAATTAAAAGGAAAGTTTAACAGTAAGCAGCTCACAGGCACTGCGACATTTCAAGCATGTTAAAATCAGACAGAAAATAGCTTTTGTAGCTGTAGTCTCCTCCTCTTGTATTACGTGTTGGATTTTTTAACAAATAACCAGTTACTGTTGGTTTCTTCAGTTGTCTAAGTAGCTTATTTATGCCTGACCCACACAGTTCTGTAGCATATTTGTGACCAGCTTTAGAGGGTTTGTCTGCATGCCTAACAGTGGAGAGAGACTTATGAAAAAATTACAACATGAAAATGCAACGAATGTTTCAGAAAGCTGTGAAAATGGGTAAAGTAGCTTGAGTATTTATTTTAACAAACTGATTTACCAATTTTTCACAATTTAAATTTGTCTTCTACTACCACACAGATCCACAAGAACCTTGTCTGCCTAAGGGTGTCTGCTATCTAAGATCATTTGAGCTAAAAAGAGAGAAAATTGTAATGAAGATTCTAAATGGATTTATTCTTCTACGCTATCTTCCAGTTTGGCATTAAACCTAATAGCATCATTCAGCATGGACTATGTTGCTTGTATCCTATTTGCATATATCTAGTTGTGTAGTGTTCATTTTATAGCACAGAGGCTCTTAGCCCCAGAAATGGGCTCAGCAGAACTTTGTGTTATAGCAGTTCCAACAAGAGGTGTGTTTAGCTCCTGTGGCTCAGCTGCTCACAGCTTAGCCAAAATATGGAAGGCTAGCTAAAAATACTGGTAAACTACTAGACTTTTATGCTTCAGTATGTTAAATGATTAAGGGCTTTTCAACCATGTAGTGAGATTACAGGCATTCTCAAATACCAGTAAATAGCTAAACTCAGATAGTCAAGGAAAAAAAACCAATCAATGCTCCTGTACCATCCCTTCATGTGTGTCTGATGGTGAGAGCGGCACTAAAGACTCTGGAAGGTCAGTAGCTGTTGCTCTGCACGTATTATAATGCATATAATGTACTTTAAAAAGTACCCTGGCTGCGGCTATGGAAGTAGGTGTCTTTTCCTTTCTGAATTTGGGGGAATAATCCTTAGATTATAATTGGCCTATGTGGTTGAACATCTTCTTCCCATCAAAGGCAACAGAACCTCACCAGGTAACCCATATCTTAGAGGGGGGTCTGGGGAACTAAATTTTAGAAGACTTTGGTTTTGGGGTTTATATTACCTTTTTACATGTAAGATAACCCTACTGACTGCCGTCCTCTTTCTGTCCTAGGCAGCACAAAAGGGAAAAATACTTTCTTTTTCCTGTTAACTGCATACCTGGAATGGTATCTTCTGTTAGAGAAAGGTCCCCATCTCTAGTGGTTTTGGAAATACCTATTTCAAGAATACAACAACACATCTCACAGGAAATGCTTTCATTCTGATTATTATGTTTGTCAGTATTGCTGACTACTAATTATGCATTCCCAGAGACTGAACTATTGTATCAGGCAGATACTTTTCTGTTAAGTTAAATCTAACTTCACATTTGTTTAGGTAACAACTTGAAAGATTTGCTTGACTCTTTCAGGTAAACGGTTGAGATAATTTTTACCATAATGGTTTAATCTGCTCTGGGTTTTGTAATCCTAGATAAGTGTTATTAGGAGCAAACTGTAGACAATGTTTTTAGAAAAGAAAAAAGTTTAAGAAATCTTTGAAAACTTTTGAATGTTTTATTATTTTTGTTGCTTCTGGAGTCCTAATACAGTTAATACCAGAACCGTCATTTTTTTGGTGTAATCTGTCCAAAAATCATGAGTATTTGACTTGTGATCAGTATATGTACACACTGACTCATGAAAGTTAGGATTTTGCTAAATTATGCCTCTATTTTTGTCCATGCATGCTTCTATTAGTGACATGCTTAAGCAAAAAGTAAAGTTTCCATCTTTTCCTTATTAAAAAAAAAAAAGCTAAAAGAGAATTTTCAAGTAAATGGGTGGGTTGCATCCACTGCAAACAGGAAAATTAAGCTTCCTGTATTAGAAAGATGTTTAGCATTTGGTTTGTTTCTGAATTTCTAATGAAAAAATATCACAGAGACTAGAATTTCCAAATACTTTTGATGCATTCCAAGTCCTTGGTATAAATACTTCTTTGTTAGTTTTTTTGAGAAGTCAGTGTATGATGTCCTGTTAAATAGTGTTGTTTACCTGGTGTGGTTTGAAGTTAGGTAGCAAACTTTATGTACCTTTTTTGTATGATAGAAGTAGGATTGCAGGTAGAAAGGACCAGATAAAGAAAATAAAATTCTAGCAAAATGGAAAGAGGAAAAAAAAAAAAAAAAAAGACCTTTTATAAGGCTTAAATTGAATCGGTGTGACCTAAAAAATGAGGAAGAGATGAAATAATGAGTTCTGTGTGACCTAACTTTGCTGCACTGCCTGCAAATACCCATACAGAGACAGCTACTGGAAGATTTCAGCTTCAGGTCTAGGTTTTTGCTGTGCAGGGGAGAACAGAGCCAAAAAATCTGTACCAAGGTCAGTGAAGGGTTGTAGTACACTTCCAACTGCTGAATAGAGCCGGGAGGGGGGTGGGGGGTGGGTGTATGAAAAAAGGCTGGCTACATTGTTCATTCTTTCCCATTCACCCACGTAGTTCTCAGCTGTCTGTGAAACTGGTCTGCTCACCAAAATAAATGGCCTGATTTTTGAGGATATTTAGTCCCAACAAAGGAAAAAAATACTTCAGTTTTATTTTTTGCAAGTAAAGAAATAGGTTTTACTAGAAGGTGTGTGCCAACTGTGTTATATGGAGAAATAGGTCTCAGCTGTTAACTTTATCTTTAGTACTTTGTTCTTTATTAAGCATTTGTTTTCCTTTTAAATATGCTTTTGTGTGGGAAGAAGTTGTATGAGTAATTTGAGAAAGACTGCTTTCTTGTGCACTGTGTAAAGTAAACCAATTGTCAAATCAGCTAACCCTTTTTGCAAGAGTAGAAACATATCTGGGCTGATTTGTGGCCCCCTTTCTAAGCCTCATGAGGACATGAAAACCAATTAAAATCTAAATCTAACCTGTTCTTCGAGGACAAAGGGAAATTTTAAATAGGACGTGTTAGGAATGTATTATAATGTTGCCCTAATTTGGATAGAGCGGTAAATAAGATGACCAGTCATAATAGACTGCAATGTCCCTGTGAAGAACCACGAAGATCTCTTCTGACTCTTTCCTCCGCTCCTTAGTGTAGGAAGAATTTTACATGTTATACAAAATTAGGGTGTAAAGAACTGATGTTGTGTGCCATTCCTGTGAGTTTTTTTCCTTATGCCCTAGAAAACAAGAAAATTGTTACCAAAATGACTTAGGTAACAATTTACAGCTCCTCAGAGTCTGGAGATGCAGTATTTGCTACTTGGCTATTTATGTGCTGGACACAGATTTTCTATTTAGTTGCTGAGCTATCAGAGCTTTAGTACTATGTTGCTATGCTGATTTAAGTCAGAGTGACTTTATTGTCTTTGTCTCTAGGGCCAATCCGTGATTCAAAATTTATTGTCTTGCGCTCTCTCATACAACCTCTCCCCAGAGCTCTGTTTTAAAATACTGGACTCAGCATTTGCAGAATGCATGGGGAACTGGGAGAGAATTACTCATGAATGGGATCCAGATGAAGATATTTAGTTTCTGAAGTTTCTAGGCAAAGTGCCAGAATCATTAGTTTTTGGAGGTACCCATAGGTAATTTAAGCCATCGCTTTTTGCTGCCAGAAGAATTGTCAGATGATTACTTAATGATTCCGTCTTGAATTCAAATGCCCCAGTGAGCTGTTGAAAATGCCTAACACCCAATGAAAAGCACTTTGGAATGTGCAGACGTAGACCCAAAACATACTACCAAAAGCAGCTCTAATGTAGATTAAGGCTGGTGGAATATATATATATAGCTGGCTTGTCCTGGAGAACATATAACAACAGCTTAGGGAAAAAAACACATTGTTAGAACAGAGATAAATATTTACGACATAGAATGAAGCAGCAAAAGATGCACACTGATTGGAAGAGGGATTTTTTTCATCTACTTTATTATAGATTACTTAAATGATCAAACGACCAAGCTGTAGGAGTTTAAGAAATGAAATTCACCAAGTCATCCTCAGGAGAAGTGAGCAGTGAGAGATTAAAACAAAATTCATGAAGAAGTTCTGCCTTGGAAGAAATGTGTGTTTTTCCAGTTCAGCCTATTTTTGTGTATTAAGTAAGATTCATATTTAACAGCTAGGAAAGCCAGTGTTTGAGAAAAAAGTACTTGTGCAAATGAAGATTTGCACACCTTGCTCCCTAAGATCAACACCTGCATATTACAAAGTATTTATTTGGGCAAGGCAAGCAGAGAAAGGAGCATAATTACAAGGTGGAGACTGTGTTGTAAGAACTATGTAGTAACATGCTTACTGCCGCTTGAAAGTAGCCTTGTGGGTGAGTTTGTAAATGATACTCTCAGAGGAATGGTGAAAAACGGAGAAACAGATGAAGGAGCTGCACTGCTTTGGATCAGCACAATGTGGGCAAAACACAAGTGAGCCTTCCCGAGAACCACTGAGTCTGGAAGCAGTGCTATGAGAGCATTCCCAGGAGAAGCTAAACGGATCGCTTTTTGGACAAAACATGTAAGTGATAGAGAAATTGTATGCACTCAGCAGACACTGCAATTGAGCATTCCCTTATTATTGGCTATGTTCCTTGTTGTGGAAAATCTGCAGGGTAATTTCTTTGGAAGGAACAAAAGAACAAAAATCATGCAATAGTTTTATAATAAAGCTTTGGAAGTTAAGCAGACAGGAACTGCAGTAACATGGTTGACCATAGCCAGAGCTTTTCACCTTGAACATAATGTTCTTCTAAAATTAGGCATCACATTAATCTCAATTTATCTGATAATATGTTATGCATGCAGTGTCTTCAACAGTGAACATTTCCCATACATTGAAACAGAATAAAATTAATTAATAAAAATATTTTTATTATATGGTGAGCCCACACATATGGGATTATCCAGGAACAAGGTTAGAGTGGAGAAGCTGTGTAATGAGAGAATTAATTAACTACTGTTTAAATTGAAAAAAAATAAAATGTTTAAGTCTCTTCTGTGAGCAGTTGTGAATGTGATTTCCATCCTTTAAGAACTTTGACTTGCTATATGTATATAAAGGGTTATGAGTAAATATCCTGGAATCTAAAGGAATACCCTCTACTGAATAATGTATTAACAATATACATATGTAATTATTTGATAAACGACTTACTTTTGTGAGTGTATAGCAAGCTGTTTTATTTTTTAAAATTCTAATAACCCCTGCAGAGAGCCAACTGGCAAAAATCTAACACTGACAAAGCTGCAGGAGTTGAATGATAGTGATAAGCGATAGGAATATGAAAAGAATATTGGATGTCTTTTCATTTGCCACTGTACATAATCTCTGTTTCACGAATAGCTTCCCCTTAAATCTCATGGTAATGACTGCTGCATAACAGTGTTCATATTACATTGGTGCAATTTGTGATTTTAGAAATCATTCTGCAGAATTAAGGCCAAAATATATTGAACCCTACAACATCAAGTTCATAGTTTTTAAATTTGAGAGAAAAGATTCTAACCTAATTATATGGGACAATATGGGAAAATCAATGTGTTCTGTGAGGCTTATTAAAGTGAAAATTTATGTAAAACATTTTCTCCATAGAAATCATTGGTTCATTATCATATTAAACACTGACTTTATAGATTCTTTTCAGTTTTATTCTTAGTATTTTCATAAGATTTTACTACGAGGAGAGAATTTAGAGGACAATGAATATCATCTGACTGTATTTGACCTAGAATATGAGATGTAAGCAGAGATTCCAGTTACCAGAGAAGGGAACATAGAGCCTGTGGAATGAAGAGGCCAACTCCAAAGTCCTGTTTGAAACTAAAAAATTATGGAAGTTAGTATTACGATAAATATTGCTGTTAATCAGACACCTGGTAACAGAACCCCCCAGTTTTTCTAATGTATAACTTCAGCAAAAGAGCACTGCTATTTCATAATGATAAAAGTAGAGCGATTCAACTGTTACATTTAGTTTCTGTAGTTACGATAAGAAATGGTACTGTATTCGTTGGTTTCCATCAAATACACTTAGTTAAAAAAAGTAATTACTATGCCAGCAAATTCAGATTGGATCCTTTGCTTCTGGTGAATCATCCCCAGTGGTACGGACTGCCAGTTACATCAGTCATTATTTTACCATTATAGTATCAGTTGCATATGCTTTACTTCCACTGGTTTGCAAGATAAATCTCACTGGAGCTGTTAGAATCTTGGGGGAAAAAAAAGGAAAGGAAACTTTCCTTTTGTTAATTCAATGTAGAGAATGTTCCAATTCTTGCTTTTTAGGTTGGCCTGATGTGTGAGAACAGCTTCAGTACAACATCTAACTGGCACAGAGTAGTGGTGGTAGGCTGCAAGTGAGTTGTGCTACGTTAGGATTTGCCCCAAACCTCTGGGTAAATCGGTCAGCCTGAGTATGGTGTGCCTCCGTGAAGGGGTGTGTGTGTGTGTGTGAATTCAGGCAGCAGATGAGGTCATGTTTGAAAGAATGGTACCTTGAAATTAAATCCCAAATTACATCAGGAAATACTGTCATTCAAAAACTACTCCTGCTAATGGAGTTATACAGAACTAAGCTTTGTTTAGTTCTAGCTGATCAGTGTTGTGTAACATGAACTCAGTTTGTTCTAATTGGCTTGCTAAAGTGACCTCTGCTGTTAAATCCTTTGTGTGCTTCCTAGAGGTTTTTGCGTATTACCTCTGGAATCATAAACTTTTTTAAAACACAAAAATTGGATATAGAAAATCCACTTTTAAACTGGTAGTTGGATTTTGGAACGTGCTGTCCCTGCACTAATAACACTAAATAATTTATGCAGAACATCAGCCTTAGTAACAAATTTAGCCAAAGTCCAGATTTCCATAGCGTTATGGTTTTGCTGGGGCATTTTACCATCAAACTGTAATTCTGCAGCATGTTTTCTCCTTGCTGCTGTATGCTCAGTAAACTCTTGATCAAGCAGTCCCACCGAACTCTGCTCAAATTAGTCTTACTTTAACAATTCCAGATAACATAACCATTCTTGGATCTTACTTTTTAAATTAGTATTTCCTAACAAAAGCTAAAAGTAGCAACTTTCAAAACGTACTTTTTCAGTCAGAAGGGGATGGTTTTGAATATACACAGAAATTGTCGATGTAAAGAGAAAATTTCTTAATTGTACTTTCGGGGAAAAAAAAACCCTAACTGTCAAATGGGCTGCTTAGTCCGTAGAGGCAGGTAACAACTGCTTCGCATGCAGCATTGCTAACTTTACTACTTCTGAAGATATTAGATGCATAGAACTCCTCATATGACATTTCCATGTTGAAGCATTAGCGGAGCAAGTTCAAAAGTTCATACTTGCTGCTTGATTGTCTTTCTGTTAAGAGAACCTAATATTAACTAAACCAGTATCCTATAACAGTCAGATGACAGTAAAGCAAACTAAAGAGATTTTGATCTGGGAAGAGTCATCAGTGATGATTATTAAATGTTTTGAGTAGCCTCATAGGAGGCTCTTCTGATACAATACTAATCAGATCTGTTTTCTTCTGAGGACTTTTTCGCTGTTAATTATCAGCAAGAGTAGTGTTCAATTATCTTTTGACTGAGACTTTGCGTTGTTTTGTGAAATGATAATTAGAAAAGCTTTAGTATTCAAAAGACTAAAGGAAAAGATTGCAGTAGAATTCTAAACATCAAATGTAGTTTTCCTTTAAAAAAGGAAAAAAATTCAAGAACTATGAAGTGTTTTGAGATGGCAAACACGTGTTTAAATTATTTCAGATATTTTGCTCTTTTATTTCTAAGTATGTCTTCCCGGTCCATCATTCTGTCCTTACAATCCCACTTCATTAAGCCACCATTTTCCCATATACCAAACACAGGTTTACCTTTCAAAATGTAGTGTAATCCCCCCCTATATTTAAATTACTCGGTTTCTCAACAACATCCGCCTTCGCCAAGCCAGTGACTATTTTCAGAACCTAACTCTCTGCTTATCAGACAAGCCTGTTCATGTTTCATCCCATTATACCATTAACAAGAGAGGAAATAGCCTCGCAGGCAAGATTAGTGATGACTCCTCATTTTCCTTCAGCTGCTTTTGCAACCTGTACCTCTGCTCAGAGATAGAGATCTGCAGCATGGTAATAGCAAGGGAGGAAATGCACTGCAATTGTCACTTCTGATGGGTGAAGAATTTAAAGATCTGCTAAATTCTGTAAAAGGGATCCAGTTTGGCTAAGGCTTTCTTTAAGTATGATTCCATTGTGGATAACAATAATAAATTTTAGGAGTGTCCCACATACAGGTATTCTACGAAATGTAGTTGTTAATATGAGATCGGAAATAATATCTGACATAGTGTTTGGTCCTACTGTTTGCTACATGATACTGCTGCGTAAAAAAAACCCCAGCTTTGAAGTTGTTGTTTATGTATTTGAAATCTGGAAAGGGCACTGTTCTTCCTTCTTCTACATTTTGAGTTAGTTTATTGTGCTGTGGAGGGGAAGGACTTCCTGAGCTTCACTCCGGACCCTTCTGTTATACCTCTTGAGACATAATGAAGATAATCCTACCTTGTTCTTGGTCTCTGAAGGCTGCTGATTCCCATTCCTTGTTCTACTAAATGAAGTCAGCTAGATTTAAAAAATCTGCATGCTGCTATTCATCAATAATCAGCAGTGCATTGCTTTATGCAGTCAGTCATTTCTAAATGCTTAGTTATTGTTTAGATGTTTTGCTCATGTAATCCTTTGCAGTCTGTTACCTTACAGACTTTCCAGTTTTGAGTTTGTGTTGTCTGTGCTTTAAACTTGGTCTGGTTAAGCCGAGAAAGGTTAATTTTGTCCATGTGATAATGATAAATTGTTGCTTTGGTGAAATTTTTGGGAAACTTTATTATTAGAAACTAAACCTCCTTCTTTCCCTAGCCTTAAAAAACCCCAAACAACAGAAAAATAACCCCAAACCTCAGACCTTCAACAGGTATAAACAGTGACAATTTACAAGGTATTGTGATATTAGTACAGTGGCAGTATGGTCAAGGTTAAGACTGATAATTCATTCCTTATACTTGCATGGTTCATGGCTTTTCTGTCAAGATTCAAAATGAATGTCTCTGTATGGTAAATTCTGTGATGTTGAAACCAAAATGTATGAAATAAGAATGTCATCCTTAGAATGAAGGCATTTCCCTGGTTAACCCAATTGTGGAGTTTGCCACAAAGAGGCAAAATGTTCTTTGTCCCTCCAAGCTTTCTATTTTCTCTTGTTTGTATTTCAAGTGCTTGCAAGCTGTGATTTTGTTTTCCCTTGGATATATTGTATGCTGATTGTAGTGGTTCCTACTGGCACTTCTGGATAACTTTTTAATAGGTACGTTTTCTTTTAGAACCTTTACAGATGCACATACTGTCTGTAGAGATTTGCTGCCTTGTTCGGAGGAGACCCAAGAAGAAGGCATAGAGCAAACAGGTAAGCACATGAAAGGTGGTCCTTGGAAACTGGAGCTCTTTTTAGAATTTTTTTAATGTAATGTTCGTGTCTATTCTAGCAAGTTATGACTGACAATTTTTCAGGAATAACGACAGGCAACCAAAGTGAGTCAAGGCAACTGAAAAATATTCAGGAACTTTCTGAAACTTGCATGAATTCAATAGTTTCTCCCAGTTTTTGCCTACATTTTAGGTGGTTACTAGATAAAAGTGAAAAATAGGCTGATCCCTTGGAAAATCATACCAATTCTTCTGTTTCCTTTGGCATCGCAGCCTACTTACCAGCTGTCAGCTATTAATGATTTGCCATACTGTGTAATAACTGTAGACTGTAAAGGAATATTTATATCTTTGTGAGTTCTGTGTTGCACTGTAGCATATGCATATTACTGTAATTTTAAACCAGTTGTAGGGGTAAATTAACCTAGTTGTGTTACTGTGTGACTTAAAGAAGGTTTACTAACAGAACTTCCTGAGGTTCCTTGGAAGGTTTGCAGCCCTAAGGGGACTCCCTGTTGCCTTGGTGAGGCTGCTACTGGTGTCTTATTTAAACAGGGAATATTTGTTCTATGAGACAATTGGAGCAATGACTGCAAGCAGGTTTTAAAGAAATAAAAGATCTATATAGGAATATCACATGCAGACTTTATACATATGTATAAATATATACCTGTATGCATATATATTTACTTTTAAAAGGCAATTCTTTGACACACAATAGGTTTCTTTCCAAGAATTGAACAGCTAGCCATTTGCTTTTTGTTTTTCAGTTATCAGGAAATAAATTTGGATGGATAAAGGTAATAACTAATTTCTGTTTTCAAATTTTCAAATTTTTGTTGAACTATGAGATATGTATTGTATGCATAGGTTATAATTGAAGCTGTGATTCTACAGAGCGCTTGCTTGTTTGCTCGTGAAGGCTCTGACCTATTTTTCTAAGAATTTATCTGGGACGCTAGTTACTGCTGTCAGCTATATACCCTGCTTCTTTCCCAGTGGTTGCTCCTGGCTGCAATTTAGAGTAATACGCTGGGCTGTAAACCACAGTGCTCAGGAGGGAATGCACATGCTATTCAGCCACTCCTGCAGAGGTGACCACAACCTCTAGAAGAAAGGTGAGGTGAACAACTGAGGGTGGAAGTCATTCCAGATGTTCCATAATTTTCCTGCAAACACAAGTCACACCCCATCCATTTTAATTAAGTAATTCCTTCATTTGTGTTTAGATATGTTTCTAAGTTGATGAATCAGGAGCTTACAATTTAAGTTAGCCTTTGTCTTTCATTTGACTTTGGGAATCTGTGGCACTACTTGTTTCCCATTTAAATGAGAAGCACTGTTTGGCTTGGAAACATCCCACAGCTATGCAGATGCTGAGTGGTAAAGTGAGGACTGAATGTCAAAAACTTCTTCCAGAAAATCTTTCAGGAGAAGGAATCTCAGTGTCTAGTTGTGGTGGGTCTGCTTTGTATGTCAAGAGAAAAGAAGGAGATTCTGATGTTTTCTAGTTGTGCGAATCTGTCTTTCCTCATTATATAATTGATATGTTCTATGACCTTAGGAGTAAATCTGTCTAATGAGGACTGCAGACTGTTCTGGAATTTTTTCCCCATTCTTTTCCACCAATGTATAGAAGCTCATTCCTGTGGAACCAGAACAGATTTTGGGTTTTCTAATGCATATGTAAATCCAGAGTAACCTTATTGTTGGCAGCGAATATTATATTGGCTTAAAACCAGTGTAAAGTTAAAAGGGAACTCATTCATGCTGGTTTTATACTGATAGAATCACAAAACAATTTGTGTTGGAAAAGACTACTGAACAGCAACTAGTTCAGCTTTCTGCTCATAGGAATTCTTGTGGCTTTGTTCAGCTACGGTTTGAAAACCTCCAAGGATTCCACAGCCTCTCAGTCCCTCTCCTTAGGCTGAGTCACCTGCACTGTGAAATTATTTTTCTTTATCCAGCAAGAATTGTCCTTGCTGCAGCTCATGTCCATTGCCTCTTGTTGCTCTGCTGTGTGCCTCTGAGAAGAATCTATCTTCTTTGTAGCACACCCCTTCAGTCTGTGGCAGACTGAACTTGGATTCATTCTTTATCTTCTCTTCTCCAGATTAAAGAAACCTGTCTCCTTTAGGAGTTTCTCATACATGGTATGTTCCAGGCCCCTGACCATCTGGGCATCCCTCTTCTGGGCTTGCTCCAGTTTGTCAGGATCTCTGTCTTGCACTGGGGCTTCCAAAGCTGCACACTGCTTCAGGTGCACCCTCATGAGTACTGAGTAGGGGAATATAATCACTTTCCTTGATCTGCTGGCTATGATCTTGCTAATGCAGCCCAGGGCATTAGTTAGCCTTTATCTCTAGTGGACATACTACTGACTTGCATTCAACTTGTTCACCAGGAACCACAGGGATTTTTCTGCTGAGCCAGCTGGCATCCAGTCTGTGCTGTTGCATGGGGTTATTCTACCCTGAATGCAAGACTTGTATTCACTCTTGTCAAGGTTTAAGGTTTATGTCAGCCCATTCTTTCAGTTTGCTGAGGTCTATCAGAATCGCAGCCCTGCCTTTTGGCCTGACGGACAATTCCCCAAGTTTGGTGTCATCTCTGAAGCTGGCCAGGGTGCATTCTGTTGTCCAAGACAATAATGCAGTCATTAAACAGTGTCGTTCTCAGGACTAACCCCTGAAGAATGTCACTTGTAATTGACTGCTAGTTAGACTTAGAAATGTTGACCACTGTTCTTGAAGACTAATTATCCTGCCAATTTTTTATTCACCTGTTATTCCAACTCCATCTAGTCTAAACCTTCCAAGGATGCTGGGGGAAGACCTTGTTAAAGACTTTGTTAAAGGTAACAAAGTGTGAACAACATGCCACTGCTTTCCCCATCTCAGAGCCAGTCATCTCATCATGGAGGGCAGTTGGGTTGGATATACCAAGGCCAAATCAAGTCTGTCCATTCTGGCTTATCTCAGTCATCATTTTATAGCTTAAAATGATTTCTGGGAGACTTGTTCTATAGCCTTTCCACAGACTGAGGTGAGTCTGATTGGTCTTTAGTTATTTGAATCCTCTTTCTTCCCCTTTTTTAAGACGTGTGATATTTGCCTTTTTCTCTATCATGGGGACTTTACCAGCTTGCCACGCTTTTTCAAAGATGATGGAGAGCAGCCTTGTAATGACTTTGGCCTGGTCTCTCAGTGTACACTCTGAAGCATCCCACCTGAGCCCACTGACATTTTTGTATGTGTCCAGTTTGCATAGGTCGTCCCTGCTTTTATCTTCCTCTGCTGTTGTACATAAAACTTCTCACCTGCCACTAGGCACAGAAACCCAGGAAGCCTGATCTTGCTAGTAAAGACCAAAGTGAAGAAGGCACTGAATACGTCAGCCTTTTTCATGTCCTCTGTCAGTAAGTTGCATGTGTTTTCCTTGGTTCTCCTTTTGGCTTCCAGTGTAGCTGTAGAAGCCTTTCTTGTGTCTCCTCACATCACTCACCAACTTCAATTCCAACTGAGTTTTGACTTTCCATTCCCACGTGCCTGGGCGATGTTTCTGTAATGATGTTTCCACCTGGTTACACCCTCTGCATGCTTCCATTTTGGTGCATTGTAATCAGTTTTAGAAGCGTCAGTATTGTTATGAAGCTTGTTTTGTGCTTGTCCTGATGCACCGCTTCCTCCACATCAGTTGTGGAGACATTTCTTTGGAGATCTCTTATTTCTCTGATCCACATAGGTGGCAGTTTACTGATGTGAAGAGCAGTATATTTTATTGCAATTTGTAAGTGGTCCCTTTTCTTCCAATGGAAAATGTGCAAGTTTTCATTAACTGAAATATTTGTGTGTGTTTAGATAATTTAAAAAGACTTCTGCTATTTATTCAGTCCTTTCTATTCAAGACTTTAAAGTTATGTGTTTATTATGGAAAATTGATAATATAGCAGAAAACCCTCCTCTTTCCCCCACTCTTGCAAGGCAGGCAACAGAAATCTGGTTTCTGTATTTTTCTTAAAAAGAATTCTTATGTATATATTCTGGCAGATACATTCAGGTTCACTTGAAATTCAGAAGTTCTGTACTCATGTTTAATCTGTTCATTGGCACAAGGGGAAGTTTGACACAGATGCCAAGCTCTCAGACTCCAACCTGTGTGTACCCAGCTCCAGTTTTTACTAAAAAGAAGTTAAGCTTTCAGGGCCACAGACATCTTGAAGAAAACTAAAAAATAATGGGTCAGAGGAGGAATCATGTATTTGTGTTGTCAGCAGAATGTGATGGCATCATAGCTGTGGAATCTGGGATGATGACTGTCTATCAGAAACGCCTCCAGCAGAGAGCTGAATGCCTTCTCTCGTTATTAGAGCAGAGTGGTGTTGTGCAGGAACTGGCATATAATCAAGATACTTTTTTGTGAGTTAAATCTGAATCAGTTACAAGCAGAAGTTAAATTATTGTTTTAGTTCCTGTCTCTCAGGGTACATCTATGGAATATCACCTGGAGTTACTCAGGTCGTGCAGCAGGACCATTCCACAATCAGCCTGTCAGTCCATTTACCTGTCTGAAGGGTGACCTTGGTTCTTCTGCATTGTATATGGCTCTGACTTGTTCTTCCATACATCGGAATTCATTTACATTCCCCAAACAGTTCTGACAGTCACCAGGATACTTGCAGGTCAGGTAGTGAACATGGAGAGGGCTTCATTCATATATTAGCTTTAAGCTATACATCAGTCTGTGGAGATATGGACTGTTAATGTTAACGAGCCTCTGAAATGGTTATATAATGTGGCCTTGGGGGGGCCAGTGCCTGTGCCTGGGGTGTGGATTCATCAAATTCTTGTGCAACTGCTGGAAGGCATCAGAAGGTATTTGACAAAAGTCAATTATCTTGGACCTTATAAATTGCGACCACCAGGGAGACCCTTTGAGCTCTTCTGTATGGCAGCAGGCCTGTGACCAGCATCTCCCCTGAGCTGGGAGCCTCTCGGGTACCAAAACCCTTATGGTGTCATCTGCTCCAGACGGAAGGCCAGGGTGAAGTCCACCTGCTTGAGTCTCAATTATCGCTCGTTGAGGAGTGCCAAGGCATTGGGAGTATTTGCTCTAAACTCGAAAGGGAAATTTTTTTTGAGCTAGCTTCTCTTCACCCATTCTTTCTCTGTTTATTGGCGTGTGTGTGGATACATACCCTTGTTCTGTGTGTGAGTTTGTCCAGTTTGTGTTCATTTTCCTGAACCCAAACATCTTTGTTTCTGTTATATGTCTGTTTTGTGTATGCGCACATATATATGTATCAATTAAGGTACTGTTAAGTGAGTTAGAGTGAATCTTGTCATTTTAGAATCTGTGAATGTCGCTTTTCTTTCAGCACTTCTGAATTATTTTGTATTAATAAATTGCTGTTAGTTATTAATAAATCTAGATTTCTTACTAAGTCATAATCATGTCAGTACTTTCATCCGTGACAGACCTTCAGTGAAGTGATATGAAGGACATGAACCAAGGTCACATATGAGTGAATGAAAGAGCATTTTGGGTACAAAGTATAATGCAGGTAGTAGGAGTTACTAGAAGAAAGAGAAAAGGAATAAATACTCCCCTTTGCTTGCAAATAGGGAGCTCTCAGTGGCATTAAATACTTTGAGCTGGAATGCTGTTTTATTTTTTCTTATGCTCTCTGTAAACCTACTAACGATGTACCAATGCTAACAGTGTATTTAAAGGATATTTATTCTGGTTTCCCCTTTGGGTTTAGGTGGTACTGAGTTCATTTCCAGCCTGGACATTGTAGTTTTACTTTCAGATGCTAGTGAGGCAGAGTGTTGGAGAACGGCTTGCAGAGAGCAAGGCCATAGCTCCCTGCAGAAGTCGGTCACAGCCACCTGAGGTAAACAGAGGAAAAAACCCAGCGTACACTGATGATAACAAGGACTGTTGTGAGAACGAAGAGATAAGTTGGGGCACATTATGACCTTGGGGGTAGAGGAAGGCAGCCCTGGGAGGGAAGCAGATTCACAGCAAGAAAGATGTTTATGCATACCAGAGATGCCACAAGGGGCTGGGATATTATAATGTGACCTTTTAGATGTACCCAATGGCTGAGATATTATAATGTAGGTTTTTTTAATGTATCCAGTAGAGTTACAAGTAGTGTATTGTAGAGTGCTTACATAAGGTGTGATTTCCTTCAATAAAGTTGAAGCTTGCTCTATCATTCACATTGAATCGGCTGCTTGCTTCCTCCGCCCGCTGCAGCAGAGCACCTGTTTTTCCCAAAGTCTATAGCGAAGTCATTCAGTATTTAGCCAGGAATTCCTTCCCAGGCTCTTACTGAGAACAATGAGCTCTCTGCTTCACTGCAAATTGACAGCAGAATATATTGTTCACGTTCTGCTGTTCTTACAAATTCTATGGGACAGAATAGTTAAATTTTTAGAATTATTTGGTTTATTGTCTAGATTTAGGAACTGGTTTTAGATTTAAGTTCTACCTGCAAATACGTGCAAGAACAGACACTGAAGGGGCGTTCAAGTTTATATTCCTTTGTGATATATATTGTGTATTGTTAAGGTGATTCACTGAGTCTCTGTGAAACTGATTCTCATGTTAGTCTTTGGTATGAATTAACACCTGAAAAAACTGCCTAAGGAAAAGCAAAAGACGATCCAGTTTCAGAGTATGTTTTTGGTTTCTGTGTACAGCTATTGTGATAATCTCATTGAATTTTCTCTCTTCTTTGTGGAAAATATTCTGTTATCTACTGTACATCTACAGTGAAACGGTAGTAATTATGTGACTTTTGTGATGTTATTGTAGGAATGTTGCTAATATTTTCAGTTTCCTTGAAGAGGGAACTCTTTCTTAAAGAGTGTTTATAATATGTGGACTAGAATGTTAGCTCTGTATGTAAAATTTTGTTTTCAACAGCAGTCACCCACCTGTACCCAACCACACCTGCAATCCTTGCCATTTTGTTGGTTTAGCAGCCAGAACATCATACAGTTTTTTGTCTGGGCTTTGGTGTGTCACTGCAGAAAATAAACATTTGGATTAACACTAGCTTCTGTCTCTGACAGGTCTTACCTCTCCTCCTTTTCAAACCAGGATTGGGGTTTAGTGTGGAAACACCTGCTTTGCCTTCATTACTCATAAAATATTTGTTTGCTGCCACTGTTGATAAAGTATGTCTGTCTGTTACCTAGAATCCTTCAGAGTTATTTGTTTTCTGAACTGTCTGGATTTATGATCCCCTTCCTCAACTGACCTAAGAAAAGCTCCACACCTATGTTTTGAAAATCATTATGTGTAATTTACACATGAGAAGATGAAGGCACATGGGAATTAAGCAGCTTTGTTTGTATTTATTGCTGTTATTACTATTTTTCATTTGTCAAAAGAACAAACGCAAGACTGTGAGTCAGGAGCATGAATGGAACATAATGTGAATCAGGAATTTTAATCCTGGGTTGAAACACATCACTTTCTGCACCAGGGTTTTTATTTCCTTACCTGGGAGGGGGTACAAAGGTGAATGTTTTTTGTTTGTTTGTTTCAAAATCCTCTGCATGTTAGGATATAGCATGGGGCAGTGAAATCTTCAGAAACAGTTTCACAGAATACTGGCAGCAAACTAGACAGGTTTTGGTATTTTTCATTTTAGTAGTATTTTATCAGCTGATTATGAATGAGCTTTTCTACAAAGCTAAGTAATGATACCTTTTGCTTCAAGAGAAAGTTGTGGGTTGTTTGTTTTGGTTTTGTTTTTTTTAATGTACATTTTTGATCTTAACAATGGCTTGCTGTGCCTCTAGTTATCCATTCAAGCCTGACTTGAGGAAGGCTGCAAGTGTGTTCTAAAGTTCTCATGTGGATCCATCTATGGCTGATGTGTTCATATATTGCCAGAAATGCTCAGAGAGGTAGTTTCCAGGCCCTCTGTGAAGCAACTAGAGGAACAGCATTTGAGAGGGATGTGAAGCATGTTGTAGTTTTGAAAACTCCAGAACTGCTTTTTTTAGCCACTGAGGTACCAGGAAACAGTATAGATACTAGCTGAGTTTTTATTACCCTTTTTGCTTTCCATAGCTGTAATAAAAGACAGTTGTGCTTATTAACTTGTGTTGGAAACTTTAAAAAGTTGTATTTTCTGTAATTCTTAATTCTGACAAATGCAAGGTCTTTGGTCTGAAATTTTCCACCAGATCTTTGTAGAATATATATTTTTTATATGCTTATGCTAAAACTGTTTCTTCATTTGTGGAAGTAAATCTAAGAAAAAACATGTTCTTACAATGTTTGTATAGTATTTTGTTCAGAAGTATGGGAACTGTTTGATAGGGGAGTCATGAGTGGTTTTTTGTCTTCCTTGTCAGAATTCTCCTAAGTTTTGCCAATTTACCAACCTCTAGATTCTCTAAGGAGTGTATTTATACTCAGCCTGCTTCTTGGGTTTACAAGAGCCAAGTAGATTCTCTGTAACAGTCATTTCTTGTGAATGCCAGGGACCGCCCCAGTCCATGGCATCAGTGGTGAGAGCCAAGTGACATTAGTTGGTGCTCTGCGTCAGCGTCCTGTCAAGGAAGGGGAGGAAAATACAGGGGAAAAAATGTGGATGATAAAAAGACAAGGTGAGGAAGGCAAGAGCAGAAGAAGATGAAAGATGACATGGAATTAGGGCAAGACAGGAGTGAGTGGAGTGGATATACATCCTGGAACACAGGGCAGATGACTAAGGGAAAAAAACATGGTAAGTAGTGAGGAACAGGATGAAGGAGAATAGCTAGAGGGGAAGGAGAGAGGAAGAAGCTATGACAAATGAAAGTAACTTGGATGCTGAACAGGGACGGAGGTTTCGGATTTTTTGGATCTCTTTAGCCTTCTGATTCACCAGCTACTCTACTAGCTCAAGGGATAGTGGGTTGTGCAGGGCTGAGCATAGGCAAACAGATTCTTCTGGAATTGGTGGTGTCCCTGTGACACAACAGAATATCAGCATATGTATGGTACTTTCTATTCAAGGTACAGAACAAAGTATAGGAAATAAAGATTTATGTTTCTACATGGCATATTTGATAGTTATAAAACTGAAAAGCCCTTCTCTCAAAAGGTGGGAAGTGCCAGCTGTGCTTAGTCCTGCAGTCTTTATTCAATCCTCTTCTCTTTTGGTACAGTCACATGGTATTTTTCAATGATAGAATATCTTGATGATAATGCTTTACTTTCCAGAGTCTCTGTGGACTTCCTTTGCTGATGGCAGAGTCAGACTGAGAATAGATAACTCATGTCCACAGACTCCCATAACAGTTCATCAGATGTTCAAGGAGAGCCTAGAAAAATATGGATCCCTTAATGCTTTGGCCAGCAAAAAGAATGGAAGGTGGGAGAAGATAACTTTTTCAGAGTATTATTGCCTCTCCAGGAAAGCAGCCAAGAGCTTCTTAAAGGTAGGTACAGGAACCAAAACCAATTCTTTTGCCTTCTTAACCCCCCTAACCCCCAAACCAAACAAAAAAACCCCAAACCCCACAATATAAGAGGCTTTTCCTATTAACTGAATATCAGCAGTCATATTCCTTATTGAAATAATAATGATGAAAATTGCTCTTGGACAAAGAGATAACACTGCTGTCAAGGGAACTTGAAGAGCTGCTGTGTTACACTGTCTCACTCTGGGGCATGAGTACAAAGTTCAGCCTAAGGCCTTAATGTTAAAAAAAGAAAAATAGGTTAAAGCAGCAGTGTCATTAATTTAGCAAGATAAAGACAAATTTTAGAATGTTTAAAACATAGGGTACAATTAGTGCTCACTATGCTCTTGTTCATATTGAAAAGTTCTGATTTTCGGGCCTTTTTGAACAGCAGAGCTCAACTAGACAGGACAAGGTAGTGGAAAGTTTAGATCACAGTAACTGCTGATAAATACTGGTTTTGCTGTGGATATCAGCATGTAGATGTGCATGGACATGTCAATGCTGAAGTAATAAATAAATCAAAACTTTCTATGATTTATATTTGTGTATCTGCTTCATGCTATGTGTTTCTCTCCAGTGTGCCTATATTATATAACATTATGCTTATTATTTTTAAGCTTGGTCTTGAACGATTCCACAGTGTAGCAATCCTTGGATTTAATTCTCCAGAATGGTTCATCTCAGCTGTTGGAGCTGTTTTTGCTGGGTAAGATTTTTTTTGTTTGATTTTGTGGGGGATTTTGGGATTTCTGTTTTGCTAGGTCTGGAAATGTAGCAAATCAGTATTTGGTGTCATATCTTGGAAGTTGTGCTGCAACTGATTAGCATGTTCAGTGACCTACTGGAGTCTCATAGCTTTCAGTATATCCAAAGTAGTCCAGACACTCATAAATTGATCCTGTTTGCTATGGACTTAACTGTGACAGTCCCACAGAAGATATTGTACAGTGTCATATCACTGGAAGATGTGGGAAACAGATGAGACTCTGAGGTTTATATTAATGATTTGTCTACAGCAAGGTATGTTCAAGTAGATGAAGTGACAGATAAATACTAACTAGCCTGACTCCTTCTGTCCTGATACCTGTTCATACAATTTGTATTTTATCTCTTAAGCTGTTTCTGTGCTAATGAAACTCAAATTGGTATCTGTGTGCAGCTTGAACAGAAAGAGGACGTAAGTGGGGGGTTTTTTAGCACTTCCTGAGCTAACTCTCGTATAGTCTCAAGTGGGTTAAAGGGCTGAATTCTCGCCTTCAGCATCCTCTACAGAATAGAGTTGAGGGTTTTTACGATGTACATCAGAGATACTCAGATGCTGTAATATCTGAATACTTGAAACAAACTTGACACCTGCACTGCTGTTTACTTCCACATCTTCATATTCTTTCAGCTTTTACCTGATCTTTGATTATTATTTTCTTTTTTGATACTAAGTGCATGTATAAATGTGTATGTATTTAAATATATGTTTATATATATATACATTTTTGATACAGAGGAATTGTCACAGGAATATATACAACCAATTCTCCAGAGGCCTGCCACTACATTGCTCATGACAGCAAAACCAATGTCATGGTTGTGGAAAATTGGAAACAATTGGACAAGATAATGCAGGTACAAGGTGGCTGAGTGGTTACTTAAAGTCCATAATTTTTCCATTTCTCAACCACGTATTGGTCTCAAATACCATATTCGCTATCTGTGTCATTAAACCTCTCATGGGAGTGTTCTTATTCAGAAACCTGGTATCTGGTGTTTGAGTTGCTGGGTAGCTTGCAGCTCTGTTCTCTGTAGTGTCTGTGGCTCACATCTCAACAGTTCTGATTCTCTTCAGCAGAGAGCTCATTGGCTGCTTCACTGCAAATTTACCTGGAAAAAACCCCACGTTTTGATCTCATGTTTATAGTGTCACCACCTGATTCTGTTTGGAAAAGCACAGACCACTTGAATGGAAGAGATTAGAATGAAGCAAGTTTGTAAGGGCCTGCCATTTACATATTAAGGATGTTAGTGTTCAGAGTTTCCTCTTTCCAAAACGTCACTTTGTCCTGCTTGTAATATTAACTACTAAGGTGGCTGAGTTTACTGCACTTCGATAGCATGATGTTTGACATGAGATAGACTTCAGTGAGAAAGGAGGAAGCTCTTTAAGTGAACAATCATCGTTTTGATAAAAGTCTATGGCCGCTTTGAGTGGGTTTCACCAAGGGTGCCAGATTGAAAGCCCAATTTGATGGCAAGATCCTTGTTGCATGGCTTGGTGGAGGCGCACAGGAGGAGCACAGGGCAGCTCCCTGGGAAGGGCTTGCATGCCAGTAAGATGTTGAGGGAGGCGCGTGGCTGGAGAGGAATCATCAAACTTGAAGCAGATTGCCCTGTTTGCTGAAGCAGAGGTGCCCTCCATGATGGAGTTTTCTTCCAAAAACATGTACTTGCCAGAGAGAAAATATCCATGGATTTTTTTTCAAATATATTTCATATAAGTTATACATCAATTACTTTGTGTTTTGTTTTATGTGCAGTTTGAAGGAAGAGGTATTTTTATCAGTATTCTGGAAAAGCATGCAGTCAGACAAGCCTTCTTGCAGTATTGTAAGCCAGCTTTTACAGTAACAGTATCATTGACATTGACCAGGCTATGCTGTCATGGATGTGGAGAAAAGAATATAAATTGAAGAATTCAAGGGATTTGATTCATACACATTTCTATCTAGAAAAAGAAAAGACAGCTTAGGCCAGCACTGCTTTTTCCAGCTGAGGGTGTTCTGAAATTTTTTTTCCTGGAAGAACCTAAGACTGAAATAACATTTCGATTGTTATCCTTCTAATAAAATACACATAATGACTACCATCAAGCTACTGCTTTTGTATTGGCACAGATTGATCAAGTCAGGTCAAAATGTGATTAATTCAAAGGCATCTATGAGGCACTGTGTCCCACAAAGTTCAATGAAATGAATGTTCTTTGTAGGCCATGCAAAGCAGAGAAAGAGCTACTGAAAGCAGCAGCCATTGCAGCCTGCCTGTAAGCCTGCAGTATTATATTTTTATTTAACCTTAAAATATGCATATTGCTTCCTTTTTTCTTTAAGAAGGTAGAATGCTTTTTTAGCAGTTTAACAACAGTTTCAGTGAGGGACTTCCTCTATCTTAATTGGTAACCACAGCAGCTAGGGTCAACTTCGAGCTTGAGTTAGACTGTTCCTTCATGTGCCCTTTGGTGCATTTATGAGAAAGGATCCTGAGGAACTATTTCTGGTTGAGCCATTTTTTGACTGAAAACAGATTTTCTAGAGCAAACCATGTAGCGTCTCTCTTTTTCCCTTCTTTCTTTTCTCTTTCCCCACTCGCTCGCTTGCTTGTTGAGCTAATTGGTTGTGTGTTTAGGGGAGAATACTTGAGGGTGGAGGGAAAGAAGAGGTTTCTTGTACTGTCAAGGCATTACAGTTTTGACAGTATTTTAGTGAAAAGAAAAAAAACCACAAAACCAAAAAACTACACACACACACACACACACACACACACACACACACACAAACCAACACAAAAACCAGCAAAACACACAAGATATGAATAATAATGAATAAATTTGTTTAAATAAATTCCAACAGATCTGGAATCGCTTACCACACTTGAAAGCTGTTGTGCTCTACAAGGACTCCATTCCAGAGAGACACCCAAATTTGTATACGGTATGTGAATGCTAGAACAAAGTTATAATTCATGGACAGTTACTTATTTGGTGAGTTTCTATTGTGTTTAATCTGTGGAATGTCTAGCATCCAGAATGCATTTCTGTGTTCCAGTAAACACATTCAAAAGCTTCATCAGCTTTTTCTGTTCAATTTACCTGTAATTTCATGTTTGATACTTGACACTTAAAATTAGAGCTACATTGTTTAACTGTCCATCTTGTGTTTTCCTGGCTTTTTATTTGACTGGATTAACAAAATACTTCTAGGCTTCAGGTGAGAATATGTACTGTCAAACTGTTAAAAATAAAAATTGTCCACTGGTGCTAGTGAAAATTGAATTGTGGTTAGTTACACTGAATCCAAGAACATGAAGATGATTGTACTTTTACAAATGATAGTTGCATTTTGTTTGAACCCAGTGATAGGCAACAAGTGAAGAGCAATAATTATGGACTACACAAATAATAGCTTTTTTTTTTTTTAGTCTATGTAAAATCTCTGTATCGCATGGTAAAACTAAAGCAGAAAAAAAGCACAAAGCCGGGATCAGAAATTTGAGTAGTTGAAGTCCAGCCTTTAATCTAAGAAGTACAAGGAGTTGAAGGAGAACAGAGTTTTGTAAACAAGTTGTTCCAATGTATTTTTAAAATATAATTGAAAATAGTTAAGTAATGAGAATACAAAAATCATCATTTGAAGTGGACTACCAGTATTAGATTTTAAGGCTGAAAAACTTTAGCTGGGGAAAAGAAAGTATTAATGAAGTGTGAACAGCATAGAAATATTTTAAAATGTTTGCAGTTTAGATAATCTGAGGGGTTACTAGGTACACAGGAAAAAAGTCTGCAGTTGTTTTTATCATATTCTTTTGCTGTGTTGAATAGCGTACAACTGTTAATAACAAAAAGTTACTGTTACAATACTGTAAGTGCTGGTATAGAGTATGCCTTGCATCTCAGTACAATAGAAACAGTAATACAAAGATGATCTTACTGTTTAGATTTGTTACTAAAAAGAATAAATGCTAGCTGTTAGTTGTGGAACAACATTTAGTTGCTGAAACCTAAATGCCTGAGAATTGATATATTTGAAAACACTCCTGTTCAGGTGTCATGGGGGATATGTTTTCTCAACGGAGAAGGGTAGCTGTGGGAGTGTCTGACAGTTGTCATAGTTTTTGTTGTCTAAAGGAAAAACTGGAGATCAAATTGCCGAAGGCAGAAATGATTGTTTATTAGATCTGAGGTAAAGCAAACCGCCCAAACCACATGGCATTTGATAAAAGGGATTTGTGTTGCAAGTTGACAGCTAACATGTAATGAGCAATTGCTACAGCACGGGCAGGGCCCTAGCTCACTGATCAGTGCACGTTTCCAGAAGGCAAACACAGTCGGTAGCGTGTGTGACTGTTTGTACCTTTCATACCCTGTGGAATGGAAACACTCTCTCTTGCAGGTACTGTTCAGTAAACACAGCCTAGGCAACAGACAGCGATTAACACATTCTAGTGTGAGAAGACAATAAGGTCAGGGAAACAGGAACAACTGCTAAGTCATGTAGAAACAGTTACCTCCTTGACACCTTCAGACCTTCCAGGAGCTCTAGTGAAATTGATGCAGCCATGTTCTGTGGGAAGGGCTAGAATGTGACAAATCCTCTACTTGGTACAGAGCTGTGCACTGTACTGCCTCTCTCTTCAGAGATGTGGTTTGTTGGAAGAAAGTATAAAGCTGATGAAAAACCCTTAGGACAGCCTTGCCACCCAAGAAAAGGAAGTCTAGGTGCTACACGGGCTAACTGTTGTAACACATTGGCCATGGCAGAGGTCTGAAGGAAACAATGAACTCTCCCTCAAGCACAGACTCTCCTTTTTAACCTCTGCTGTCCTTCGCATCATCCCCTTTACTGCTATGTGGTCCTAGATACGTTCTCAAGAAATCATTAAAGAACGGAAGTGCTGTATCTTGCATTTGAGTAATACAGTTCTGTAGCATAGTGTGAATTATCTCATTCCAGTGGGAAACTGACAGTTTGGTTATTGACTTTCTTAAGAAATGTTCTTACACTCTAGTTTTCAATTAGCACTGAAAGCAATGGTACATTTAGAGCATATCAGGTGCATTCAATAGAAGTATCAGGGAGCAACCAATATAATATAGAGGATCGGGTTCAGCCGCCTTCTGGGCCAGTTTGCATGGCACAAAAGTCCAGCATCATAAAAGGTTTAGCTCATTCTAGATTGATTCAAATTTGAATGGAAGTTGTGACCAACATCATATGCTCTGTTTGCTATAAAATAGCAGATAATTTGGGCAGACATTCACACATATAGATAATGATGCTTCTGCTAAGAAGCTTTCACTCAATTGCTTTATATTTATATTTAAATAGAGAACAAGGAATAATAGATAGAATGTCACAAGTGTACTCTTACTTAAACCAGAACATCTACATTCCTTTACTCAAAATTAACAGTGTGAGATAGTAACAGAATTTTAGCCTCTGTCACTTGTTCATAGTATCCATCTTGGAGGAGGAATAGTATTACCATTCTCTTCTTAGACATTGAAAAGATTCATGGCAGCACAATTCGAGATAGACTATTTGCAATTCATGCATGAAGTTCTAAGCTAGTCTTGTATTTCTTACATAGTCAAGACCTGGGGACACATGCCTTGGAAATATGTTCAGAGCAAGGCACTGAAGTTTTCTGCCATTTTTGAGACTGATAAGGTACCTCATCTTTCCCACTTGTAAAAAGCCATTTGATATGATGTATTTTCTGTTACACATTCCAGATGGAAGAGTTTCTGGAGCTGGGAGATGACATATCTGATACTACTTTGGATGATATTATTAATTCCCAAAAGCCAAATCAGTGCTGTGTGCTAATATACACATCCGGAACAACTGGAAAGCCAAAAGGAGCCATGCTGAGTCATGACAATGTATGTACTTCAGGCTCTTCCTTTAGTATAAAAATAGTATTGAGGATATTTATTCCTGTGTTTTGAAATGTCTGGTACATACTAGAGCCTTGAAATCCTGTTACTTTTGCAACATGGATAGTGTACGACAAAGCAATATTCAAAATGCAGTTGGCTGTTTCTGGTAAAGTATATGCAAGGTAAAGAAAAACTCCATTCAAACTAGCACTTCACAAGGTTGATCAGTTTATTATGAGTATGAACTTTTTATTCACTGGTTTTCTTGTGAGATAAAATGCATGTGTTCATAGATATAATTCACAGATTGCCATAAAGTCTCTCAGGTGATGTCACAGGTCATCTTAAACAAATCTTATACATCAACCAGCCACTATCAGCCTGATAGACTGCTTTGGCAAATTTTATTAAAATTGGGGGTGGATGTGTTGCTTTTTTTACTTTGGCATTATTGTATTCCTAGGCTTGGGTTTCTATATCTATCACTGGAGGATAATAAAACTCCAGTGCACAGTGCTGGTATTTACAATAGCTCTACCTACATTGTTACGAACAGAAAATTTTCCAGTGATAGAGAAAAGCAAAGTTGTTTACAAAAAGGACTTTCTACAGAGGTCTGTTATCAAAGTTCGAAGTGTGGTTGTTTTGAGTTTTTATATATTTATTTTTTTTTAAGGTGGCTGATCAGGAGTAGAAAGTGGTAGGAAGCCTTTCTAAACACATAGACAGTCTGTGAAAGGGCTGGTCTAAGTTGTGGCCTCTCCTCTTAAAATAAAGAAGAAACTATTGTAGATGTGCACACTGTGAGGAGCAATTCACCTCAATGTAAGGAATTAATACAGTAGTATCTGGAAGCTGAACATAGTGGACTTGGTAGATGAAAAGACTGATCTGAAGTTGCAAATCCTATGCTCCTCCATCTCAAAGGAATCTGGTGTCACTTCTGTGTTAGCTGCCAAACTATTCCTGGCTGCTGATCACAAACAGTCTATTTTTACGTTGACCAACAGTGGAAAACATGCCTTGCCTGTAGCTCTGCTGCTGCCTTCTTTAGTCAAAAGATGTTTGCCACTGTCCATGTGTAAAACCAAATCTGAGTCAGTCATATATGCACCCACACAAATCTGTGAGTGTGCCTACATGCTGCGAGGCTTGGAGGATAAGCAGTCAACATTGCCACATCTCAGACATCTCATTCTGCCTACTGCGTACGTCTCCCATAGCCACTTGTCCAATGCTGCCATCTAAACTTGGGGTGGCCTGGCCTGACAGCATGCTGGTCCTTAAAAACCTCTCTTGAGAACCTGTATTTCCTTAGACCAAATGTACACTCGTACCTTCTAATTTATTATAAAGAAAAGGAGCTGGCAGGAACATACTGTGATAACAGGTATTGCCTGTGATTGGTATCTCTTCCCTGCCATCTCAAATGATCTAATTTCTGTGTTCTGCCCTATCCATTTCAGATTATGGACTCCTGTGAGAAAGAGCTGTTTCTTTTTTCATACCATCACATATATTTGTGGGTCTTCCATATGCTATATTCTGATAATGAAGATACACATATTTAGCATCCTTGAACTGCATCTTCTGAGATTAAAGTGGGAATTAGGAAGAAGGGGGGAAACATCATCCACTTTCACAAGCAGCACATCCTCAAAAATATTCACATATGCAGTACTGCTCTGGAGGGGTGGGAGTGTGTCACTTGTGAACCACTGTGGTGAATATCTCAGAGACTTCCAGAAGAGCAGAATACAGCTGCTGTCTTCCTCATTAGTGTTTCACCAGGTGATGATCAATACATGACAATGAGCTTGCTGCTGATACCGAACTGTCCTTTGAGCTTTCAGATCACTGAGTATTATGCCTTTTCAGGTAAACATACAGACATAGCACTGCCCTGCTCAGTGTGTCACTAGGGTGTGGGGAGTTGGTAGCATTCACAGCCCAGTGAGGCAGCAGAAAGACTGCATCTAATTATGTTATCTGCAAGTCTATGTTGCTGCTAAATTCATCTTGCTTTTGACTGAGTTTCCCCCAGGGAATTGAAAGTCTGGTGTGTTGTCAAAGATTGCAATGTCTTCAGCAATTTCTGTGAGCATGAATTCTTTATAGTTACATTAGCATTGCATGAGGATCCTTAGTTTGTGTTAAAGGGGAAAAAAAAAAAAACCAAAACCAAACATACCTAATGTGTTTTATTATTTATTTAAACAGATAACGTGGACATCAGCACATTGCAGCAAAGCAGGAGATATGCAACCTGCAGAGGTCCAGCAGGAGTCTATAGTCAGTTATCTCCCACTCAGCCACATAGCTGCGCAGATATATGACCTGTGGACTGGAATCAAATGGGGAGAGCAAGTTTACTTTGCTGAGCCAGATGCACTGAAGGTATCTGTCTGGTATTGCACCTAATTCTTGCACTTCTTCCTCTTAGAAGACATTCCAAGGAGAGAATATGATCTTTGAAGAGATGCAGAGGGTGAAGATTGAGAGTCCATTATTGTAAGAATGATGGAAAATTAAAATCCATTAGACTTATGATCCAGTGCTTTAGACTCCAACTAAAAGATATAATTCAGATTTGTAAGGTTCTTTCATAAGGCAGAAGGCTGTGCATCTAAAGCAGAAGAAGTATAAGCAGTTTTTGGAGGAAAGGGAGGCAGAAGGAACTAAACCACTGTGCATTTTCCTTCTTGTACGTACCTCCCCTGATGTGTCAGAGCTGGCACATGTTAGTGCATATGTCTGACTGAGGTAGGTTCAGCAGTTCTTCTTTATATCCTACATGGTATATATGTTATCATCGCAAGATGCAGACTGTATCACTGCTGTAGACCTTATGCAATGTTTTGAAATGATTTAATAATTTTAACAGGGCAGTTTGATCAACACACTAAAAGAAGTGCAGCCAACATCTCACATGGGAGTTCCCCGAGTATGGGAGAAAATCATGGAGAAATTAAAGGATGCTTCTGCTCAGTCAGGATTTATGAAGAAGAGAGTGCTGTCATGGGCTATGTCACTTAGCTTAGAGAGGAACCTCAACTGCTCAAGTAGGTATGTATTATAATGAGTGAGATTTCTGTCAACCTGGAAGTACCTATCTGCTTGTAATAAACTATGAAGCATCAGTCTCTAAGCATAAATGGGTAAAATTTGGCCTGGCAACAGAGCAAATATAATGCAAGAGGGAGGGTGTAGTTATCGGTTACATTAGGCTGATCTTAAACACAGGTGACTGTTAAAAGTGGCCTGCCATCCTCCCTGAGAACATACTCCCACTAACACGTCCCCCAACTCTGTGTCTTCTGTGAACTGAACAGGTTAGTTTTCAGCTAGGAGAGTTGCCTCATGTTGCACCATGTGACTGTGCAGGTGCTAGGTACTGGTGTAAAGAAAGGCCATGAATTTGAAGGAGGTGTATGTGAGGGGGGAGGTTTTGGAGGACAGCCCAGAAAAACTGGCTCTTTACAGTTTGGGGTGTGCACCATGTGAGTAAGAACCTCTCATCTTCACACAGTCACCCGTGGGACTCGGGGACACCCACTGGAAATTCTCTTGAGCTCTAAGTACATTATCTCTGTTCTGAATAGCTTTGGTGTTTTCCTTCATAAGATTGCCCAGATAAAGAATGTTGTATAAATTCAAATATTAACAATTTACTGTTCCAAAGTTCTTTAAAGCATGACACAGTGAAGTGTGAAATTGCTTACAGAAAATGGTATTCCAAAAGATCATGCAATGATACTGTCTGATCATTCAGCTTCTCAGGTCCTGCAGATTCTAGTTGCATAGATTCTCAGAGACACATTTAATTGATAAAGAATCAGGAATATGAGAGCTTTGGGTTATACAGTACATTTTTATAGATTCTTTATGTATTTGCCATATTCAGAAACCTCAAGCTGGAGGTCACTAGCAGTGAAAGACGCTGAATAAATGAAAAAAGAATAAATATGTAACCTGTTCTTACTGATGTAACTTCTGTCAACGCCCAAAACCAGATGGCAAATATATAAGCTAAATTTGTGTCTGATTTTGTTTCAGAAATTTCATAGCTTGCTCTGACTTACTGTCTCCTCTTGTGTGTTTTGTACTCAGCAGTGATTTAAAGCAGTTCTGGACAAGGCTAGCAGACTACTTCGTGCTTGCAAAAATACGCAATGCACTGGGATTTTCTTCCTGTCAGAAGCACTTTTCTGGTGCTGCTCCTCTCAATACAGAAACACTTTATTTCTTCTTGGGTCTGAACATCACTCTGTATGAGGCCTATGGGATGAGTGAGACCACAGGCCCACATTGCCTATCTGGGCCTTATATTTACAGGCAACACAGGTAATTTTACTTACTTTTTTTCTTTTTTTTTTTTTTTTTTTTTAATATGGTATGTTTCATTGTATCTATGAGAAGAGTATATACTAAGTTCAGCAAACATTGCTTATTTTATTTTCTCTCTGTGCGTTTCCACTCTGTTGTGACTTTCCACTCTATTTTGACTTTACTATTAGTAAAATAACTTCCAGGTCAGAAGCTGAACGCCTTGCTTCCATAGCATGCCATGCCAAGAGCACTGAAAGTGATCTACAGCATTATATGCAGAACACAGTTACTAAATCTGACATATATCCTAGCCCTGGCCCAGGGTAGGATAACTTTCAAATTCAAGACTTCAAATACAAAAGTGTTTTTATGCCTGAAGATACAGAGGGGGAAAAAAAAAACAGGAAGTACAAGGCAATATAGACAGCCAAAAAGTGCTTAACATATACATACAGTGCTTAACATACTCTAACATATCTCCTTTAGTGAATTAATATTCCATAGCTTTCAAACAGTTACAGTAGGGTGATATTTACAGTCACTAATATTTTGATAGGTTCAGGGATTTAGCATTTTTAGACATTTAGACATTTTATCAGTATTATGCTTAGTATTTCTATGATCCTTGTGTTTTTCCGTGCTCTTCTCCGATAGCTGTGGTAAACCAGCACCTGGCTGCAGAGTGAAACTGGTGGACAAAGATACAGAAGGCAGTGGAGAAATCTGTTTCTGGGGAAGGACTGTTTTCATGGGTTATTTAAATATGGAAGACAAAACAAAAGAAGCCTTTGATGAGGATGGGTGGCTGCATTCTGGAGATTTAGGAAAACTAGACAAGGATGGATTTCTCTATGTCACTGGAAGAATTAAAGGTAATAAGCAAAACCTTGCTCCATGTTTATGGTAACTGTTCAGCACTGTTCAGTCACACGTCAGATATGGCCCATCTAATTAAGTGTCTTTCCTCTAATGCTAGCAGCACTGACCTAGTTGGAAGGTAAAATAAACTTTCCTATGAGGAAACCATGGTGTGCCCTGTTCAGGAAAGGTTTCCCTCTAGTCTGTAACAGGTGGAGATGATTCACTTCCTACAGTGAGGCTTTTTATCTCTCAGACCTTTATTCAGTATTAATTAGAATTAGTAATATAAAACAATAAGGCAGGTTTAATGTGTCATCTTTGATTCTAATGGTCCATTAAGCTGTCTAGTCTCCCTCTGAATCTTGCTACATTGTCTTAATTGCACATTAGAATATTTAGACAGTAAGGAGAGACAACCTTCTGTTACACAGAAGCTGTTGCTGTAGGTCAGAGCTAGGTTCTTCTGATGCCTTAGGTGCTGTGTTTGCAGAGACTAGTATTGAAGCATGAGAGCAGAAGGGAAAGTTAAAGTTAAAACAACAAACCTAGGTGGTGTTCCAGTACATAGCTTGAAGCCTCATGGGAATAAGACTGCTCACTTGCTTACTTGAAAGCTTTTTTTCACAATATATGTTCAGAATGGGATTGGTCACAGTTGAGATGTAATTAATGAAGATTTAAAAATTGAGTAACTATCATCTTAGAATATATGATGAGTCACTAAGGAGATAATGTGGATGAGTGAATTTGTCATAGGATGACATAGTGTCCTGTTAGGAATTGGGACTTAAGTAGATACTATTAATAGCCTTCACCAAATGCAGCTATCTTGATTTTAACTTGCTTTCTTGTCTGATTCATTTTCCTTTAGCATAGAAGTTAGCAACTCCTAGTTTCATCTCATCATAACATTTGTGTTTCCCTTACATCTTCTTTGATTGCTGAACTAATAATAATTACTCTAAATTACAGGATAGGCAGACCATCTGGAATAAAATAACTGTCCAGTTTCATTAAAGTTTTAAATCCAAGTCCAGATAAGGTAAAATCTAATAGAAGGTAGTAAAGAAGCTTTTCTTCTAGTGACTGAAACAGGACTTCTTCCTTTGGTTCTGTGGGTCTTAATGAATTTTAGGACTCATTAACTGCAAAGCACAAAGATGTAGCTAGGTGAGTCCATACAGGGAAGGTATTTATAGAGGTGTGGAAAAGGTTGTTAAATTACAGTTGTCTGGATCAGACACTGAAAAACTAAATGACTAAATGCCAGAGAGATTGGTAGAGGATCTAAGACAAAGACAGGACTAAGGCAAAAGGAGGGTGGAATGAAAGGAAAAAATAGACAAGTTTGGAAACACAACTAACTTCACTATTTATCTGTGGTTTGACACGTCTCTTATTCTATGAACGCTACTTGTGCTTCCTCAAAAGTGTGCAGAGTGTTGACTAGGGAGAGAAATAACTTTTATGAGATCAATGCCTATTCCATACCAGAAGGTTGAGTATAGACTGGAAGTTGTTTCTCATCATAGGTCTCATGGAACGGTAGAGATGGTAGGGCCCAAACCTGTGAATGCCAAAAGGGTGTTAGATTCCCTTGATTGCATCTAAATTCTTCAAGTTTAACGCTGACAGGGAATCAGGTACTAACCAGTTCCTTAATACATAAATCTGCTGCATTGTTACACAAAGGACTGGTGTACCATTTGTCTGCATTATTTGTTGAAGCATGTTCTGAAGTGCTGCACAGATTGTTATTTGAGGACAGTGAGAAGTCATTAGCGTAATGAAAGCAGGGCTGGAATTTACTTCGATAATACTTAGATTTTTAATAATGCCAATGAATATATGTTTATACTTTAGAGCAAATGCATTCAAATAAAAATGCACATTCCTTTATCAGTAGAATAAGGTATCACTACTGTTGTTTACAAACCTTAAAAATATTAAGATTCCAGTCTGTCATTATATTTCCCTCATGTTAAAAGTGGGGCAGGAATCATTATTTCCAGTGCAATATTTCTCTCTTGACTTCTCCCTCACACTCCTCTCTCCTTTCTTTCCACATTTTTTTTATGGAGCCTCCCTGCAGTAGTAATTTGTTTTTGTCTGACCCCTCTTGGTGGCTTTCAGATTAATCACGATGTTAATGGACTTGTTTTCTAGTGAGGTAGCAACAGTAAAATGGAGAGTGAATCCTATGCTAATTTGGAAGAGATGATTGCTCACAGAAAAACTACAAACAGTGCCTTGAGAATAACTAACCTGTTACTGGATTATGTAAAAATTATCTGGAGCAAATATGTTATCCGTAGGGAGAATTGAGAAATTGAGCACATATTTGAAAAATATTAGCATTTTTATTTTGAAGTTAATTAATTAATAGGCTTTGTTCTCTTTCAAAATATTATCTTTGAAAAAAATTTATTCTTTATGTTGGAATAAAAGTGGATCAATCCAGACATTAACCTGGTCTGTGGAATTTATTTGAAATCCACTAACAGCCTTTCTTCTTCGTGTAGATTTGATTATTACAGCTGGAGGTGAAAACGTGCCACCAATTCCAATTGAAGATGCTGTTAAAAAAGAACTCCCAATTGTTAGTAATGCTATGGTGATCGGCGATAAAAAAAAGTTTTTGGCAATGTTGCTCACCCTAAAGGTAAACCAGTTTTAATATTGATGAAAGGGAAATTATATACCTGCATCTAACAAAAGATGAAGAATTTTGAAGAATTTTTAAAAAGACCCAAAATTAGATAGGAGGATTAGTGGGGAAAAAAAACGTATAGCAACTACAGACCAAATCCTGATAGTCTAAACTTCTTATGCTTAAATGATCTGCTAAACATCTGTGTGCTTACTGCAATTGCTCCTATACAGTAATAACACCTGTATTTTTATTTATATGCAAATTTTTAATTAAGAATGTCAAAAGACTGAGGAGTCTCTGTAAAGGAGCACAATAATAGCTTTTATTCTTAGAGACGAGCATAGCCAACAAATGTTTCTGTTATGGGCAAAAATGGTTTCTAACAGAAACTTTTCAACAGACACAGACTTTCCAACAGAAATTTGTTCTTTTCATAGTGCACAAGAGGATGACTGTAGAACAAAATAATTAATAGCTCTGCTGTGGTATATTCTTTAATTGAGAAATCACTTTTTCCTAAAACATTTGCACTTAATGTTCTGTATACATACATAGTGAATGACCCTTTAGTTTTTCCTCAAGTTGTTTACTTCTGTGACTGATACTCCTTATCTACAGGTACAATAGAAGTCTATCTTCAAAGAATGCTTCTATCTCAAGCTGTTTACATTACACCACAGTAATTCAATCCAATTATGAGCTAAATGTTTACTTGTAACAGTGGAAAATACAGTAGAAATTCAAGGTCTATAGATGGACTTTATTGCCTAATTCATTGCCACGTTTTAAGTTGGTTCATGTCATCTGCATACAAGCCAAAAATATTTGCAATTAGTAATGAAGTGGAAAGGAAAGCACTATTATCTGTAGGTGTTTCTACTTTTTAAGGCTTACAGAATGTTTGGGTGTTAATATTGATTCTTACTAGTTGGGGAGGACCTGATCAGAGAAACGTTTAGTGACTTGCAAGAGTGAGCATTTGATGATTCGTTTCATTTGATATTTCAGAGTGTGCTGGATCCAGATACATCTGATCCCACTGACATCCTCACTGAGCAAGCCAGAGACTTCTGCCAGAAGACTGGTAGTAAAGCCACTAAAGTATCAGAGATTGTAGCTACAAGAGACCAGGCGATATACCAGGCCATTCAGGAGGGAATCAACAAAGTCAACATGAATGCTACTAATAGGGTTCATTGTATTAAAAAATGGATAGTCCTGCCAAGAGATTTTTCCATTTCTGGGGGAGAACTAGGTAAGATTTACTGGCTTATATGGAGGTATACACACATTAAAGAGGCTGCTGATCTAACAGTATCAAGTAGAGTTTTGTATGTCAAATTCTGGGTACAGCCAGTAGAGGGACAGGAAAAAACTGTTATGCAGTATGTGTTAAAGAATACAAAAATTGGGATTTTTCTGCTGTGTACACATGTATCAGTTATCAGTTTGTGCTCATTTACAAATACAGGTCTGTAGATAGATTTCAGGTTGCTTTGGGCAATTAAACAGTCAATTCTTGTTAATTCTCTGTGCATTACAGTATTAGTAACTTCTAGTAATAATGCTGAAAATTTCTCCATTAAAAAAAAAAAAGCAAGACATTGAAAGCCTAACAACTGAGCCCCAAATACATTACCAGGCTCTTTGAATGAATGAAAACTGTTTAAAAGCTTTCAAAAACACCATCCTTTAGTATTAATGAAAAAAAGTAGTAGCAGTCAGTTATCCTCCTCCTATCTCCAGCTCCCTCTGAAGTCCTAATGCTCATGCAGAGGCAACCTTACATACTACACTTGCTTCACTTTTAGCCGGTACCTACACTTACAGAGCAGGAGATGTTCTTCTGAACAGGCTCTCAAATAGAAAAATCTTAGGAATCAAAGCTCAAACCGAGTAGGATTTTTTGTTCCTGTTTCTGCTGTTGTCACTAACTCCCTCTTTTTAAGGTCCAACAATGAAGTTAAAACGGCTCACTGTGCTTGAGAAATACAGAAATGAAGTAGACTCCTTCTATGAAGAATAAGAAGACTTTCATCCAAGCATTAAGGAAGATCTGTGAGCTAAAGCATTTCCTAATCAAAAGCATTAATGAAGATTTATGCTTGTTTTGGTTTTGTAGTCTATTAAGCTGAACCACTAGAAAACTGCTGTGCCAATTGAGTTGTTCCTGATACTCACCTGATCGTTTGTCCTCCTCTTACATAAGTGTCTACACAGTGTGTCCATTTTCTAATACTGTTTTTATTTAATGACCTAAATGATTAAGATGGAAAGCATCCTCTTGTGTTGTATAAAGTGGGTATAACTGATGAATTCCTCCAGACTGAAGTACTGATCTTGGACCAGCCAGGATTGGAGCGATGTGCTGAATCATGACAAACTCACTCAAGTTTGTTGAAGGGGGAGCATTGACAAGAGTAAATGCTGCTGCACTGTATGCAAGCTCCCAATGTATTACCAGTAATATTAATAATTAATAAATTATTACCTAGTTTCGTTTCTACTTTTACATCCTACTGACCTTCAGATTTTGTCTGTTTACTGCTCACACACTCACCCCGCTCTCTAACGGTGGTGTTCCGTAATGCTGCCTCATCTACAATCATTCTTCTAACCTTAAGGTGAGTTTACATTTTGCTAACCACCAATTCTTAATTCCCACATTGTTTTGTAGCTTTGTTTTCACAGTGATCACTGCAATCAGTTGTGGTTCAGCCTTCTGCACTGTGGACAGGAGGCGTCATGTGTCACAGGATGGCAAACTCTGTAAAACAAATCAAACATCCCAGGCCTGCTAAAACCCACATCCGTAGGTTCAGATCTGCAACCCAATGGCTAGGGTTGAGCCAGGATAAACTTTTGCCTAACTCTCTCATAATGTCATCATGCATTGATTTCTGAATCTCAATTAATTCATGCTGTAATGAATTATGTAGTTTGTTAACTTGTTGCATGCAGATTGCTAGAAAACACTCCTTATAAATGCATCTTAACTAGCTCCCATGTTGTATCCTTTGGTAACATTATTCATAACCTGTGCCACCATATAGGCTGTTGGAACAGAATGTACAAGGGCCATAGAAGCTACCATGGCTGTGGCCACAATTCTAATAGCCAAGATAAAGGCTATCAGCCATCCAATGAATCACTTTTGTCATTTTGCTGCAACTTGTCTCAACAACTTGTTTAATTGAGACAGTCCAGAGTCACCCTCCCAAGGGCGAGTAAGATTGACTGATAGCCATAATTCAGATCTAGGATTTAAAGGAAAAAGTACTGTAAGATTATAGCCAAATACATTGGCTGTAGATAGACAAGTAAAATAGTGAGGATCTGTAATGGTGATCTGATATCGGCCACTACTATTGCTTATTTGTGCCTCTTTTCCAGCCAGCAAAATATACAGATGAGTTGTACAGATGGTCTAAAATACAGGTGCTGTTGTGGTTGCAGTGGTAGACATGCACCCCCCCCTCCTGTGGACGTACACTTGGGGGGGCATCCGCATGCAATGTTAGATTGGCAACATTCAAATGACATGACTGATTCTCTGTGTCTCAGAGGAAGCCAAGCCCCTCCAGTCCACTGTGTGTCATTATTGGCTACCAGTAGATCAGGATCCCACCAGCCTCCTGGGGCAAAAAACTGATTATGTGTGGCCAAGATATGTGACCAGCTGCTTCCAGCAAAAATAACAGACCTATACTTATCGCCGATACGGTGGAAATGAGGGCCAAATAGGCAACCATGGTATATGCATTACATCTGTTTGCCAAATTTCATTGGCTTTCGGGCCTCTGGGAATCACTGCATTGGGGTACACCTGGTCTGCTGGCAGTCTGGGCAAGCTCGGATGATGTCCAAAGCCTGTGATTTAGTGAGGTCACATGTCTTCTGCAGGCTCTGTATGTTTTGGTGGAAAAAGTCTTGAGAAGCCTGAGGTTTTTGAAAGCTGCATCATCCCAGGCATCCCCTTCTGGTCCAGGCAAAGTAGAGTGTGATCGAATATGGGTGATAAACAGAGGGTACTGACACTTGTCAATCAATGCTTGCAATGCTAAAATCATAGACAACAGTTTCCTATCATAGATTTCTTTTACTAATGCCATCTCTAGTCGCTGTACGACATTAACTACATACGCCGAGTCAGCGACCATCTTTATTTCCTGCTTCGAAACGTTTGCAGGGCTAGGATAGCTGCTTGTAATTCAGTTTTCTGTGTGGAACCCTCTTGACAACGTGCACAAGTCTGCCACCTTCCGTCTTGTTTCCGTGCAACGCCTGCCTTACCAGTCCTGCCAGAGCCGTCTAAAAAACCGTTAACGCAGCGGAAAGCGGGGTATGGCTGATCTTCTGTACGATTTTAAGTGGTAAAATCGGCGTGTTTTGTAATATCCTGTTTGGTGGTAACGTCAAAGATATTTCACCTGTCAAATCCACGAAGGCTATTTGAAAGGTAATAGATTGCAGAAGCAAATAGTTAAGCTGTTCTTTCGTACAGAGCAGGTGTATGATGTGCGGATTGAGTCCTGTCAGTGCTTGACATTGCTCTCGTCCTTTCTTTACCAGGGTAGCACATTGTGGTGTTGTTTTTTCTGGAGTGGCTGGTAAAAAAAAATCCACTCCATATATAATAATTCCAGTGCTAACTGTCCAATAAGAGCTGAGGGATGAGGGGCAGCAGGATATACAAACAACCTAACAGGTATGTTTGACCTGCCAGCAGTCTGCCTGGAATTGTTCAATACGCTCACACACTGTTGTCATTTCCCTCCTTGCCTTAGGGGTTATTTGACACGGGAATGTTAAATCTGGGTCTCCCTTTAACAAGACAAAAGGATTTTTTAATTGTTGGGTAGCTATCCTGAGGTACGCTTGTACCCATGTGATTGTTCCTAACAATTTCTGGAGGTCATTCAATGTCTTGACGTCCATATTAAGGCATAACCTTTGCAGCCTAACAGTACAGTAGGTCCATATAAGTCCAAATTACTTCCACAGCTCTGCTTGTACATTTGGGGGGCAATCTGAAGCCCTGACTGAACAAGCCATTTTTGCAATTGCTGATACCTCTTCTGAAAATCTTCCTGCTCCTTTGCTGCTAATAGAAAAGATGAGGGTTTTATTCTCTAATTGGATCGAGCACTGAGTGGACTTAATGCTGGCAGATAGTAGGGCTGTTTTTCATCCCTTGTGGTAACACTTGCCATTGATAATGTTTCATGGGCTGTGCGTTATTTATTATGGGTACTGAAAAGGCAGATTTACCCCTATCATTTGGATGTAGTGGGATTGTAAAGAAACAATCTTTAAGATCTGTTACAATTAAAAAACAATTCTGAGGTATCATGGTAAGGTTTGGCACACCCTGTTGTAAAGCTCCCATAGATTCCATTACTTCATTTCCTGCCCCGAGGTCCTGCAAGTCACCACTTTCCACCTTTTTTCAGTATTACAAAAATAGGTGTGTTCCATGAGCTGTTAGAGGGTTCAATGTGTCCTGCTTCTAGCTGTTCCTGAACTAAGCATTGAGCATGTTGTAATTTCTCCCCTTCTAGGGGCCACTGATCAACCCACACCAGCTTTTGTACTTTCCAAGTCAGTTGTAGGCAGGGGATTATGATTGTGGCCCCTTGCCAGAAGGCTGGGTCTGAATGGTTATATTCCACTGTTCCAACAAATCTCTCCCCTATAGATTCAAGGGACAATCCATTATATATGGCTGTACCCATCCGTTCTGTCCATCTGGACTCTCACTTGGTGTTCTGCTGGTAGAGGATGCCAGTTAAACTCAGACACCAGAGTGAAAAGAGTAGGATGGTTTTACTGTTAATAATTAAAAGATATAGCTAAGTACTACAGAAAATAAGCTGTAAGAAAAATACAGAATACTACACTTACTTATTACTACATACAATTAAGCAAGGCAATGCACCTAATCATTATTACAAAATGGGGAGAATAGTGATTAAGAAAGATACATCACCACTTGCATATGCTACCATCATCGAGATCTGCAGTTGCTGGGCAGCCCCAGTTGCAGCGAGGATTTGGAGAGCCTTTCCCTCAAGTGGGGAGTCCCACACGGTGTGTCCATCCCTAGATGAGGCTTCCAAACTCATGGCAAGCAGGTTCAGCCTTATATACCAAAAATCAGCAAGCCAGAATAAATTACACATTTGTTTTGAGTGGAGACATCAGATTTCATCCTCCTATTGGATTCCACCCAAAGCCTGGCCAGGGCTCAGGGGAAGAACCAAGGGAGTTTCTATCAAGTTTCTAACACTTGGGTTCTCAGCCTTGAACACTGATAAACAAGGGAAGTTGGATACAAGTTCTCACAGCATTTCATCCTCACTACTAATTACATTTTGTCTAAACTACACCTTTCACTAGTGAGCATACATATTTTGTTCACGATCAGATACTGATAATTAATGCTAATGGTAAAATAGATTTTACTAATTAACAGATACTAATAATAGATAACATTTAGTTGTAAGGTTCATCTGGAGGTCACCTTTGTTTCAGGGCCTATTATTCAGGCCCTAGCACTGCACATGGCAAGACCCTCTTTGTTGTGGGGCAGATGTGCCACCTATGCCAGTAACCAATAGTAGGACATTTTGCTGTTCCCAATCCAATGGCCAGTCACATTGTGTGATAATAGAAACATCTGCTGCTGTGTCTATAAGACCTTCAAAAGTTCTGCCCTGAATTTTTATTGTCACAATGGGCTTATTTCTCTGAATTGCAGTGGCTCATAGAATATCTTTAACCCCTGTACTGCCGAATCCAGCACTACCCCTCTGAGCTGACGCTGCCTGGGGTATAGCAATATAACAAGCTGAGCTATTCCTGATGTCTTCAACATTACTTTTATCTCACCCTGATAGTCTGCATCAATTACCCCAGGAATTACCCTCAGTCCTTTCATGGACATGCTAGATCCACCCAAAACTAAACTACCGTTCCCGAGGGTAACGGCCCATAGGCTCTGGTTGAAGCCAGATACGTTGTGTCTGGCTCTCTAAGGATCAGTTCTGTGGTAATGCTGAGGTCCAGCCCTGCACTGCCAGCTGTTGCTGTGTGGAGCTGGCGAGCCCTTCGGCCTGGCTGTGGAATACTTGGGGGTTGCTCCGGGAGGCCCAGGCATTTGTTGGGGCGCCGGGCCTCGCACCCCTCCTCCAGTTTCCCAACAGAGGCACCCCATTCTATTCAAATTTTGACTGACATTGATTAAGCCAGTGAAATCCTTTCCCACACCTGGAACAAGGTTTGGAAGGCGATGGACTTTGCTCTTTTCTTTGTTTACAATCTTTTCTAAAATGCCCAGGCTTTTCACATAAGAAGCAAGCTCCCCTGGGTGCCGCTTGATGTCGTCTCTGCACTGCTGATAAGGCTGCAGCCAGGAGCTGCACCTTGTGGCCCTCGGTACCTACATACTTGGAAGCCTTCAGGTACTCACCAAGCTCTGGGCACTGCTTGACAGTCAGTATTAGCACTGTCATATGCCAATTGTAATACTGGGGCTTTGGCTGCCTCAGGGTTATCTACCTGTCGAGAGATTGCTGCCTGTAAATGATCTATAAATTGCTAATATGACTCCTGAGCCCCTTGTCGGATGGTCACAAAGGAACCCGCTCTGCGTTCCCCATCAGGTACCTTTTTCCATGCTATTAAAGCAGCTCAGGAGGCCTGGGTAAAACAAGTGCTGATCTTGCTGGGCTTGAATGCATACACTGCCCTTTGCCAACCAGCCTGTCATAGCCCATCGGCGTACAGTCAGCCACATTGTTCATGGATTGCAGTACAGAATTCTGCATACTTGGTTTTCCAGATGGAATACTGTGCCAGCATTAATACCATTTTTATAATGTTAGTGCTTGCCAATCCCATGGGACCAATTGATACCCATGAGAGATTGCCTCCAGTATACATGTTGTAAATGAGCTTTGAAGCCCACTCTCACTGGTGCTTTTCTCTAGTTCTTTAAAAACCAGGTATGGCAGAGACTCATGCTGCACCTGATGGTTGGATCTTAAAATTACCAGAAATGCCATAGGGTCCCCATTATTTAGTGCCTCCCTAAAACACGTTTCTAGCCTAGACCCTTTTCCCTGAATCTCTACAGGGAACACCTCTGGTGGGGGAGGTAGAAAATCTGAATGTAGAGATTCTAGTTGCTCATCTTTACCCTTTTCAGCCCTGCTTGCTTCTCCCAGGGGAGCACTGGGAGTTAACTGCTTTTTCCTGCCGGGATGGGGTACCTACAGGTTCTATTTCTCCTGACAGAGGTTGTAAAACCATGTAAATCAATCACCATGTAAGCAAGACAGAGGTTGGAACTACAATTCCCAGCTCTTTTTTAAACTCCTGTCCAACCTTCCACCACAATGCTAAATCAAAACTTCTGTCTGCCAGGAACCATGTACAATGCTTAAAGATACAGCACAGTAACTCATGCAGTTGATAGTGTTACTCAACATTGGGCAGCCTTCAAGAGCAGCTTTAAAACTTTCATATACAGCTTTTGTTCCTTAGAAAACCCTGACCCCATGATTTCAAAGAAAAAACGAGAAAGAAAAAACCCCTTATGATTTAAGAAAAAGAGAAGAGCTGTATGCCAGCAGCTTCCCACTGCCAGGCACAGTTGTCTGGTACTCACCAGATGAACGAACACGGAGTCTGGTGTCACTTTCCTCCTTTGCATGTGAGCAGGCCGCTGTCTTCTTCCACTTCCCCTACAA